TTTAAAATGGGTTTAAAGTGGGCTCTCTTTCTGGTCTGCAGCATCTTTGCAGCTGAGTTTTGCAGGAGGACCATAAAGAAGAGCGTTACAGTAGTCACTCACTTCTGCATTGGTTTCAGAGAGAAACTGTTCCCCCTTTTTTTTAAGTGATAAAATGCCTTGTCAGTAATATCCCTATAACTAGTACCAATGACTAAAACTTGAATTTTGTCCTGGCGGAGCTGTAAAAATTTCTCTACCATACATGACCTGATATCTAAGATACAATTGAAAAGGGTATAAATTAGCCCTGGGTCATTAGGAGAAACGGTAACATAAAGCTAAATGTGACACTCGAGTGAAAAATCCTTGACAGTATTTTATTTGATGATCATTCAATGAAACTGAAGTTCTTGAATCAAAGGGATCAGACAGAGAGCTCTCCAAGCAAACTGGTAAACCTCTGAAAATGACCCACACTCTGGCCCGACACTTACAGAGAGTAAAACTAGACCTAGTCTTTTTAAAAATCCTGCACCTCCTGCCACCATAATCCTTTATCCTGTTGCTTGTACAGCTTTCTACCATCATCTCTTAAGGCTGTCAAAGGTCAGTTCACCAGCCGCTTCCTAAGGCTCTTACTATTTGTTAACCACTACTGACTACTCAGATCAGTACAGAAGATCAGGATGTCTGAGCTTCATTGATCTGCTTCTCCAGTTTTGTAATCCCACACTGCAAGTGTTCACATTCATGCCCATGATTCATTTAGGTTTTAGGACACATACAGAAATAACTTGCTTTGAGCACCTGAATGATTACAGATCCCTTTTTTTTTCGTTTGTTTGTTTTTTTTTAAAGTTTGAAATAGGATCACATCATCAGTTAAAATTAGTCATGTTGGCAATTGATGTTCAATTGTTTGGAGCAGGTAAATTTCCTGTTAAGACTCCTTCCTTCAAGATAAATGAGTACCATTTGTAAGTCAAGATACGTCCAAATTTTCTGCCTAGGTAGAACCTTGATTTCATCTTCTTAACAACATACCTCATGAGTCTACAAACGGTTTGAAGGTCTTACATTAAGTCACATTAAATCCCCTTCTAATATAAGGAACATAAGCTAAGTTAAGCTAAGTTTGCATCAGCGTATTTGCTTTTTCTGAGATTTTCTCAAGTTATAAAAAAAATATCTAGCAATATTTATAACACGATTACAATGTATAGAACAAACATCTCACCAACAAAACTATAAAGGCTGTGGCCAAACTGAGGTTTCAAGCTTATTACTTGTGTTGTTGTTGTTTGTAACTTCTTTGAAAGATATCAGTGGACAGGTACTTGTTGGAAGAATATTTAATGAGTTACTTTCAGTTCAATTTTACTGTGTAGTTTACGTCACATCAAATTACTGATCCATTTTTTCACCTTTAAGCAGACAGCTATGGTTACAAATTCTTTATTGCATCATTGCACTACTGTCTTATATTTGTAAGTTAAATGTCTAATTCAGTTTGTTCATACTTTGTAATTTTTGTAATCATCTTCTTGTAACATTTTATGTTTAATGTTTTTACATAGCGGGTACACATACTTGGCCAATAAAGCTGATTCTTAAATAACTTGCCAAGAAAACTTAACATTCATATATGGTATAATTTGACTTGTGGAGCTCTGAGTTCATTTTGAATCCTGCATTTTAATTTTCAATGGTGTTATTTCTTTATATTCCCAAGATCACTTCCACTAAAAAGAGATTTCAATATTTTTGCCACCACTGATGCTGTGCTGCAGGTATATGTGGTTATTTTGATTAAACAAGAGTCATGGTAAATGGTGGACATGAAAACAAAAGAAAGTATTAAAGCAAATTTTATGAGAAAGAAGCGCATTACCTGGAATAAAAAAAAGGCTCAAAGATTAGCAGTGCCAGGGTTCTATATAATTTAAAACCTGTGAATTATTTTGGAGAAGTCCCTTGCAGTATATCAGTCAGCATCTGCATTGTGTCTATTAATGAGGGACGGATTAAATAATTATCCAAAAGCTGGCTTTTGATATTTCCTCATGACTTAATTTGAGATTCCAGTTGCTTACCTGATGGTGTTTAGAGCCCAGAAAGTGAATCTGTTGTTGTACTCCAATGAATGTGATGTTTGTGGTATACCCTCACAGCACACTTTGTGTCACAAAAAGAAGTCTTACGAAATGAATCGTCATGCTGCAAGGTTGAAATAACTTCTCCTTTAAAAAGAATGGGTGCTCAAGCAGATTGTATTTTCTTTACACAATTTACACATCTTTCAGTTATATCAACAGAGAATGGCTCATATACTTAAATTGTCCTGTGGATGACATACATCTCAGTTATGCGAAATAAAACCAATAAGCTAAACAAGTTGTAGGAAACATAAAAGACCTACAAACAGTCTTAACTGTAGTTGTTGTATTTGGCCTACAAACTATAGAAATCACCCCAGCCACTTTAAGGAACAAGGACGTTGTTTTCAATCTGGATATGTCCCCTACAGCCCAAATTTGTTTGTACCCATACACTAACCCTTTACTAATTAGGCACATCCAAAGAGGAGTAGAAAAACAGTAACACAAAGTGTACTTTCATTAGTTCTACAGTAAGATGGATTATCATCCTTCGACATGCTGCTTGGACTCTGTTTCGATTCAAAGTTCTCTTTAAAATCTAGCAAAAAGTTTAATTTTTTCTTTCACTTAGGTATCATTGATCAAGCGCCATCATGTGGTAGAAAGATCGTAGTGCATCATACCCAATAAGGACAGTCAGAGATGGAGGAATAGGTCTGTGTACATATCTCGTTTAAGATACTTTGAGAGTGTTAAAACTTTGTACTTTTTTTTTTCTGGGAATGTTTGCACTGTCTCATCTTGAAGGTTCCCCTGGGTTGTTGCTGATCTTGCTGCTGTAGACTTGCTTGGCTCACAGCACACTGTAATACTGCTCATACTTACATGATTATTGTACTGCTGCAAGCATCAGCCAGTTATATTGGCTCTGTTATCTTCAGCTTGTATTGTTGTCATGTTTATTGCGATTGTGTAGTTGATGTCTGTTTGTCTTCCTGTTTGAATGACTGTCTGTCTCTTCTTATCCATCTCTGTGTCGCTCTGTCTCATTTTCTCAGACAATCCAGTGAGGCAGAGAGCTGCTCACCAATGAGACTGCAAATTTCTCCTGTTGTAAAGAGGATTTCTCTTTCTACTTGTTACTGTTCTTGATGTAAAATATTATGAATTGACTTTAGCTGTAATTTTTTGTGCTGTATGTTAAAATGTTGAAAAATTGATTCATGGTTAACATCCTCTTGATAAATCATGAGACAATATTTACATAAAGAAATTTAAAATGTTGGCATTTTTTTTACCGGTGTATTCGGATTGATTCTTAAAAAATATCATTTTAGACTGCACTCAGCGGTCTTCATTTTATCTGTGACCTTCTGATCTTTTAGTTAATATATTTTGATAATGTGATACATTATAGATTTGAATTATAGGAATTTTAAAAGTGATTTGTGCTCTTTTCCAGGGCTCAGTTATAGGAAGGAGAAACTACAAATGTATTGTTCATACAGAATCTGACAAAGGAAAAGCAAAAACTACTCTAGTCTGTCATCTAATGGTTGAATTGGGTATTGCAAAGAGGACAAGTGCATGTGTTCTTTAGTCAAATACAACTCTTGAATGAGATAAGCTGTGCTTTGGCACTGTACATGATCGTACAGACACATTTGTGTGAAGTGCCTTTAATAATGATTTATTTGTAAAGAAGCTAAATTAAATTAAATTAAATTAAATTTTAAATAAATTGTAGACTTCATAATTTTCAATATCACTCCCCCCTCTGCTGTCCTTTCAATGGAGCCTGAAGCAAAGTGTTGAATATAATGGGAAACGCTGCTGCCGACGACAGCCAATCCAAATAATCCTGCAGGATAAAGCAATGGTAGGTTACTGATATCAAGAAGCAGCTAAAAATAGGCTTGAATGAATGAATGAATGAATGAATAGATGTACTGGGCTAAACTTTTCTGCCTTTTTTTTTTTTTTAAAGGTAACATTTAGTGTATTTTATAATGTGACTACTTAGATGTCATCTTACATCCATTGAGCCAAGTATCTAGGATAACTGGAATAGTAAACCTCAATCATACAAGTTTCATTTAGGTTCAGGTTTTGCTTAGAGTCTGAGTAAAAGACATGCTGTAATAATGGGCTGACAATGCACCACCAATTCCTTAATTTTCAATTACAAAAATGTGTGTTAAGTAAAAGTTCAAAAGTTTTATGGGTCAGTTTAAAAAAATAATAGGTTGGCTTGTTGAGAGAGTGGCATGGATAACAGTTTGGACATCAGTCGAACACCTGTGCCATCAGACCGGAGCTCACTAAGATCTTTAGCAAATTAAACTATATGATCAGTAAAGCAACATATGACACAACCCTAGTGTATCAGTGCGAGGAGCATTTTCGGCACCTAGTTATTGGGAGGTTGTGGCTCAACAAAGATGTACAGGAAAAGAGTAGGGGGGCTTGTTGATGTGGAAGATACCGTAATATAGCAATGCAGCTGTTGTCTCAGTGGAGGGCGCGCTCTGGTGCATGTGGGCGTGGTATCTTTTGAATATGTTTAAGCGCTTATTTTGAGAACTTGTGCTTATATACTATTGACTTGTGTGTAGGGCTTTGTCTAAATACCTTATAGAAGCCACAAAAGCAGCATCGCCAAATATGTAATAATAAAGAAACGGCTCTGGCACGTAAGTCGCCATCTTTAGTAAGGGACAATAAGCCTACTTAAAAATCAAACAACTTGTTGTAACCCACTTTCTCTCAATAAATGTTTATTTTGCACTGGTATCAAGTGTACTTTGGGGTACTGTATTAAAGAGGGTACTTACCACCTATAAATGGTGAAACAGAACAAATGCAGTACGTGCATTTCAGTCTGCTATGGTAAGTGAGCGGGTCTTTGTCGCCATGTTTACTTTGGGTGACGCCAACTCTCTTCCATTTTCCTCCGCCTCTGGTTGTCAAGAAGATGGCAGCTTCCAGGCAGGCATGAGAGGGAATACTTCTTCACAAATCGAATGAATTTGGATAATTGTTGGAAGATAAGCCCACGAATCAGTGTTTTTGCAACTACTGCATCGAATTTGGTGAGTGAAATCCTTAAAAATCGGCGCTTTTAGCTGTTTGTTGTGCTTTGTTGTGGCATTCCGCCCGGCCATTTTTCTTGTGGGAGCTGTAGAACTAGGCCGATCGTCGAAAAAAATGGCTGCTTCCACAGACGGCATGAAACACAATAACACTCTGTATGTGCAGTTTAACCGGATTTGGTCGTGTTTTAAGAAAGTTGCCAGAAGCACATTAATCTCAGGCAACATATGCATGCCGTGATAAAACCTAATATCTGTGCATTAAATAGGAAAAGTTGAGACCGCTTTGACAGATGCCAGCCCTGAAGCTAGCTATGTTAGCTACTAGCCTCTATTGCTAACGACGCCTAGCTTACGACAGAAACGATTTAAACGCTTCGATTTTGTCTCAGCTTTGCGCAGTTTCTGGTAAATAATTCGATGTGGTTAAAGACAGATGTGTTTTGTGTAACTACAACTGTTAAAGAAGGCTTTCATTCATTTCCCAGCGATATTAACTGCGCTGAAGTCGCTGCGGGGAATGCTAAGTTTGCTAGCTACAATATGGCGACTCCCAGAGAGGCATGAAAATAGACGAGTCCTGCTAACGGTTCTGAACGATGGTGAACTCCGTGCTGCATTGGTCTGTTGGTTTATTTTGCCGGTCTGCTATGAGTGCTGTCCACGTGTTTAATATTTATTATGATTTCATTTGCTGTGGCGGTTATCTAGATACCGTATATTTTTCTGTTTCATTCGCTTCCGCCATTTTTCAGACTGGCAGCAGCGTTAGCGGGTTTGTTTGGCTGCAAGATGGCTGCTTCCATGATTACAACTCAATGGTTGGAAATAACTATGTGATATGAGTGTTTGCTGTATTTTAATGATGAATTCTTAACTATATATTTATTGACATGAATTAAGTCAGTTTGCTGCAGTAGTTGCCGGTAGGTCTTTACTTTGATTTTGAGTTGAATGTCCAAATCAACCGAAGCTAGCGGCTAACTATGAAGCTACATTTGAACTATTGGATAAGTTAGCCTCAATAAAGATTTATTTTGCAACTTTCATGAAAGTGAATATTAAGGTTATTTCACTAATTGATCATTTTTGAAAAGTTAAGACGGGTTATTCGCTTTTCGTCCCGACAGAAGTCATGTCTGTCCCTGGCTCCGCGGTGTCCGGGACCACGGCATCGGTTCTGCAGCCCCGGTGGAAACGGGTCCTCGGATGGTCCGGTCCTGTTCCCCGGCCCAGACATGGACACAGGGCTGTGGCTATAAAGGAGCTTATGGTTGTGTTTGGTGGTGGAAACGAAGGGATTGTGGACGAATTGCATGTATACAACACCGGTAAGATGAACTCCAGTGTTTACTTTAAAGAAAGGCTTGTTATGAAAAAAAAAAAAAACCTGAAATGTTTGAATGTCTTATTGATTCAAAACTGCTTAGTTATATTTGTTCCTCAAAACTTTTTGTGACATTTCAATGGATTTATATGTGAAATTAAAATGTAAGTGCCGTTAAGGCCTCGGTGGGCCATGTCGGTACATGTGTAAAGAAGTTGGGCACCCTCTGCCGGATGAAGCGGTGTAATGCACATTCAAAAAAGGCGGGCTAAAATAAAATGGATGGTGCTGGTTGGTTTCAGCGTAATTTATGTCACAGTTTCTGAAATACAACCAATTAAGGACAGAAAAGGTAGATTCTGTAATTTTGCTCCAACTATTGGTTGCTTTTCTTTTCAACCATTTATTGCTTGATGTTTGATAGCAAAAATAAACTGTTAAAAGGGTCAGAAGTTGAGTGTACCCTAATGACCCCATGTAACTGCTGAAATATAATTCAGTACAATTCCCTGTGTTGGCAAGCTTTAACTGCATTATTCATCACTGTGGCATTATATTTTCTAGCAACAAACCAGTGGTTCATCCCAGCAGTCCGTGGTGATATCCCTCCTGGCTGTGCAGCATATGGGTTTGTTTGTGATGGCACAAGGTTACTGGTATTCGGTGGAATGGTGGAATATGGAAAATACAGCAATGATCTCTATGAGCTCCAGGTAATTAAGACCGAAACCCTCAATGTTTTTTTTTAACAATGGGAGAATGCAATGTTAATTTATGGATAACTATAATATTGTCCGATTTCCCCTAAATAACTCGTTATGCTGCTAATGCACCTATTACACAGAGGGGGGAGGGACTTAGAAAGATGTTGGCTATTGGTTATTTTTCATGCCTTTTGCTGTGACATTATCAGTCAGTTTGACCTTTTTCTGTTGCAGGCCAGCAGATGGGAATGGAAAAAGTTGAAGGCAAAAAACCCGAAGAATGGCCCCCCTCCTTGCCCTCGACTTGGCCACAGTTTTTCTCTGGTTGGCAATAAATGCTACCTGTTTGGTGGACTTGCCAATGACAGTGAGGACCCAAAAAACAACATTCCCAGGTACGCTTTTTTCAAGCAGGCAACATGAAACTGTACTAATTGGGGGGCTGGACATTTGATCCAATTTCAGTTTCACTTATGGCTCCCCTTGATCATAAAAATAAAATGATTGGGATCGAAAAATTACTATGCCCCCAGCTGTGCTGCACTAGTTTTGTTTTTCATGATGAATGAAGCGCATCCTCTTTTTCTTGCTCTTCATCACAGCAGCGCTCCCTTGCACTTCCCTTCAAAGAGTTACACTTGAAAATTATTATAATAATCAGTAGACAATAAGTTTGGGAGCACAAAGAAATTGTGGATGCTGCAGAAGTTAATTGTGGACCGCTGCGTCTTTAACATGTGTAACTAGTTCAAACAATGATGCAGCCACAGGCAGAGAAGGATGCAGGAGCTGTTTGTGTGTCTGAGAAGCTGTGGGTCATAGTGTGCACGATAAGCAAGAGACCATTAACAATCACTGTCCTGCCATAGTCGAGCCCTGTTACTGTTCAATTTGGAAATGAATTCCGTCCAACAGCCTGAGTCTGAGAAAGGTCTGTTTCTGTCATTCATAGATACTTAAATGATCTTTACACACTTGAGCTGCGTGCTGGCTCCAGTGTGGTTGGATGGGATATTCCCATCACATATGGAGTTTTGCCGCCTCCCCGTGAGAGCCACACTGCCGTGGTATATACAGAAAAGATGAGCAGAAAATCTCGCCTGATAATCTATGGAGGAATGAGTGGTTGTCGTCTTGGAGATCTATGGACCCTCGATATTGGTGAGTTTCTTGAAGTGCACACAGTACAGGTACATCAAAGAAATATCAAATGGCTTGCTGGTGCTAAAAACTTTTTTTTTTTTGACAAAATGTATTATAATTGTATTACCTGTTGCACTGTACTTATCTGTTACCCATACATGTTGTTATTAATCATTATTCCCAGATACCCTGACATGGAACAAACCATCAGTGAACGGGACAGCACCGCTCCCCAGAAGTCTTCACTCTGCCACCACCATCACAAACAAGTGAGACAAAGGCTGCACCTAAACTACAAATATTAAACGTTTTCAATGACAGTTTAATTCCTATGACCGAACAGGCTTTGACTGATACCAGCATCTCATTGGAATTTCATTTTGCTGATTTACAGGATGTACGTTTTTGGAGGATGGGTTCCTTTGGTAATGGATGATGTCAAAGTGGCGACGCACGAGAAGGAGTGGAAGTGCACAAACACACTTGCCTGCCTAAATCTCGGTTTGTCTAACTTTGGTGTGTCGCATAGTTCAAATTTCCTTTTGATGAGCTAAAGAGAAAAGGTGATTCATTGGAGGTCGTTTCCATCTTGTATGTTTGTATGTAGACACCATGTGTTGGGAGACAGTGTTAATGGATACTCTTGAAGATAACATCCCAAGAGCTCGTGCAGGCCACTGCGCTGTGGCCATAAATTCCAGACTCTATGTTTGGAGTGGTCGTGATGGATATCGTAAAGCTTGGAACAACCAAGTCTGTTGTAAAGACCTCTGGTACCTTGAAACGGGTAAGTACATTATCAAAACTGGATATTACAGTAACCAGTAACAGTGACAGTGGCACAGGTTTATGTGTATCTATGCATTTTCCACCTCTAGAGCGGCCACACGCCCCCGCCAGAGTGCAGTTAGTCCGTGCCAACACAAACTCTCTGGAGGTGAGCTGGGGTGCTGTCTCGACTGCAGACACCTACTTATTGCAGCTGCAGAAGTATGACATCCCTGCAACTCCAGCTGCAGCTTCCCCAGTCATGAGCGCAACCCCTTCGCAGCCTGTGAACTCTCCTAAGAGCCCTGCACCAGCTGCAGCAGCTCCCTCTGCTCAGAGCCTACCGCAGACAGGTACTACAACAGCTGCCACAGTTCTCCTTCTCCAAACCTCCCATGTCTGTTTGAAAATGTTATTGATACACAAAGAAGCACAACATTATAGCCTTATTTTGTTGGTCTCTTTTTAACAGCTGTTTTGAAGGTTGCAGCTCAACAGTCTGCCACCGGCACATCTGTCGTCACAGTCCGTCCCAGCCAGCCTGGGAAGTCCCCTGTCACTGTGACATCACTTCCTCCAGGTGTGCGAATGGTGGTACCAGCCCAGACCACACAAGGATCGGTAAGAGTCGTTTTACAGTCTTATTTTTTCAAGAATTGATCATTGTTGGGCAGGCAGACAAGTTCAACAAGTGTTTCCTTATTCTGTTATCAGCCCATTGGCAGTAGCCCTCAGATGAGTGGCATGGCAGCTCTAGCTGCAGCTGCTGCAGCAACACAGAAGATACCACCTTCCTCTGCAGGCACTGTCCTCAGTGTGCCCGCAGGAGCCACCATTCTCAAGACTGTAGCAGTTTCCCCGGGCACAACTACAATGAAAGTCGCTTCTCCAGTCATGGTACAGATTTTAAAGGATATAGTCAGGTCTAATATTGTATCCGCTTTGTCTGTCATGTGCCACTTGTTAAAATAATGATTTTCCTACAGGTCAGTAACCCTGCCACACGGATGCTAAAAACTGCTGCAGCTCAAGTGGGCACAGCAACAGCATCCTCTCCCACCACCACCAGACCCATCATCACTGTCCACAAGTCTGGTGCAGTCACAGTGGCCCAGCAAGCCCAAGTAGTAACCACAGTGGTGGGAGGAGTCACCAAGACCATCACCCTGGTTAAGAGCCCTCTCACCATGGGCAGCAGTGGCACCCTGGTAAGATATCAGGACTCTGAAAACTCTGCAGCTATGTGTTGCACTTAAACATTTCACCTTTTAAATGCACCCAAAGGTGCTTTTTAGATGCATGCTGTAAATCGTAAAAGCTTTCAAACCGATTTGACACACTTGGTCTTTAAATTAACTTCTATCATTTGTCACAAGATGATCACAACATGCACTGAACTTGAACCGGTGGGGGAGGGAGTAAAGGTTGGCCTATAGTGACTGTTGAGACTCTACTGAGAAAACAGGGAGCATGATGATAGTGATCTGCATGACTGTCATTGTTGCTCAAGGGGGGAACGATTCATCATAGTGCCACCATTCTGGTGGTCTACTCTCCCACTCCTTGTACTGTCCGATGTTTTCTGGTGACTCATGAACTTGAGTCTCTCTCCTATGTTGGCAGATCTCCAATCTTGGCAAGATGATGTCTGTGGTACAAACCAAGCCAGTGCAGACATCAGCTGTCACAGGCCAGGCTTCCACTAACCCTCTCACACAGATCATACAGGTCAGCTATCTGCACGAGTGCAGGGAAAAAAAAAAAAAATGACAGGAGGTAGCTTCAAACTCCTGAGACAAGCATCAGATGTTTTTCTTCTTATAGTCTGTATAATACGTTTGTCTCTCCCCAGACAAAGGGTCCCCTCCCGGCTGGCACCATCCTGAAGCTGGTGACCTCTGCGGATGGCAAGCCCACAACCATAATAACAACATCCCAGGCAGGAGGAACAGGAAATAAGCCCACTATCCTCAACATCAGCGGAGTCTCTCCGAGCACAACTAAACAGGGCACCACCATCATTAAAACCATCCCTATGTCAGCCATCATGACCCAGCCCGGAGCTACAGGTCGAGACTTTATCTAGTCTACTCTTTCAGAGCGACTCAGCACATTAGAGCTGAGATTAGAGCTACATGTCCACTTTTCTCCAGGATGAAGCATACTAATTCAATTAAAAGTGTAATAATTGACAAATGCGTAACAACAACTTAAAATAACCAAGAGTCAAAATCAAATGCATTCTGGTACCAGGGTAGTGTATTCTGAGTTGGCATCTACATGCTTTGGTCTTGCAGGTGTGACAAGCAGCGCAGGCATGAAAACGCCCATCACAATCCTTACCACAAAGGTGATGACCACTGGAACTCCTGGGAAGATCATTACTGCCGTGCCCAAACTTGCCACTGCAGCCGGCCAGCAGGGCCTCACCCAGGTACACTGATTCTGTTTCTCTCTGTCTATCATCTGCTAGTGTTCTTTCATTTATGTTTTTACCTTGGAGCACTCATCTTGAATTGTTTGGTTAGGTGGTCTTGAAAGGTGCGCCTGGGCAGCCTGGCACTATTTTGCGCACCGTGCCCATGAGCACAGTGGGTGGTGTTCGACTTGTTACACCAGTGACCGTGTCTGCAGTTAAGCCAACTGTCACCACTCTGGTTGTCAAGGGGACGACTGGTAAGAATAATTGTTCCTTACATTTTTATTTTCCAAGTCAAATTTTTTTGTATGTTGTACTTTACTAAAATGCATCTTTGGTTATTGTTGTTAATATTTTTCTGCTCTAAATGATATTCTTTTTAGGTGTCACCACTCTGGGAACAGTTACCGGCACAGTCTCCACTAGCCTGGGAGGAGGCACGGTGGACAGTTCAAACGCCTCATTGGTTACCCCTATCACCACTCTGGGTACCATCGCCACCTTGTCTAGCCAGGTGATCAGTCCATCTGCCATAACCGTGTCAGCTGCTCAGACCAGCCTGACCTCTGCCTCCACACTGCCCTCCTCTACCATCACAGTTCAGGTGAGACCACCCCCTTCAGTTGTTATCCCTCAGTTTGTACTTTGCATTTCAGTCCTGAGTTCATGAAACACTTGAGAACTACATTTCAAAATGCTTGGTTTGTTGATGCATATATCAGTTGATGTGCAGTGCAGCCTAGAAAATAACTAAAAAATGGTTTAATCTGCTCTGGTCAGAACCAGCCCACCCAGGTGACTCTTATAACAACCCCCAGCGGCGTGGAAGCTCAACCAGTGCAGGATCTACCAGTATCCATTCTAGCTTCACCCACCTCGGAGCAGCCCAGTTCCACTGAGGCTGGAGCTGCAGGAGAGGGCTCTGGGACTGTCACCCTCGTCTGTTCTAACCCACCCTGCGAGACCCATGAAACTGGAACCACCAACACCGCCACAACTTCTTCTGCCCCCATGGGCGCGGGACAAGTCTGTTCTAACCCGCCATGTGAGACCCATGAGACTGGCACTACTAACACAGCAACCACGTCCTCTGCAACAATAAAGGCAGGACAGGTGTGCTCTAACCCGCCCTGCGAAACCCATGAAACAGGCACCACCAATACCGCCACGACGGCATCCTCAAACATGTCTGCTCCACGTGTTTGCTCCAACCCCCCATGTGAGACCCATGAAACTGGGACAACCAACACAGCTACCACAGCTTCAGCTAACATCGGAGGAGCCCAGCAAGTGTGCTCTAACCCACCCTGTGAGACTCATGTGACAGGCACCACCAACACAGCCACCCAGTCTTCGTCAAACATGGGTGCAGGCCAGACAGCTACAGCACAGAGGGTCTGTTCAAACCCGCCCTGTGAAACACACGAGACTGGAACCACCAACACCCCATCCACAGCCGCCTCCAACATGGGAAGCGACCAGACCAGCACAGCGACAGGCAGCATCCAAAGGGTTTGTTCAAACCCACCCTGTGAAACACACGAGACCGGGACCACCAACACAGCCACAACTGCCACCTGCAGCATGGAGACAGGCGAAGGCACAGGTACACTCCCGTTTACTCAAACTGTGTCAGCTCAAGAGGATAGTAAAAGTTTCTGCCTGAAGTACTGAAGGATCTTCATTCAGTCAATTAGCTCTGAATCAGCTGTCATCTAATCTTTGGCTATGATGTCACTTTTTTTTTTTTTTTCTTGCCCACGAAATCGAAAATAAGTCACAAGGAATTATTCCATGTTTGATTCCTCAGATGAAGTTTTGTGTGCGAGTAAGTGAGTTACAGGTACAGAGTTGAACTTCTGTTTTTCTTTTGTTTTCATCAGCCTCTCAGCAGACAGAGGAGGGAGCAGAAGGTGCCAGCAGCACAGAAGCAACCTCCACCACAGCTACAACTGGCTTAGCTACAACCGCCCAGGGCAGGGCCATCACTACTGTCACTCAGTCAACGCCGGCTCCTGGACCCTCTGTACCTGTAAGATTGATCACAGAAGACCTGCCTGATTTGAGTAGATGCAAACACAGCAGATGTTTCTGGCTGCATGTCTGAAGAATTTCACTGCATTCCCTACAATAACATGCTCTCCCCTCCTTTTCAGTTTGAACTCCAAAGCTTTACTCCGATTTCTAAGTTTGATTTTATTCTTGCTTTTCTTTGTTAGTCAATCTCATCGATCACAGAGGGTGTGAGTACTGCTGCCAGCTCAACAGAGGAACCCATGCAAACCGACGAGACGGCATCAGCAGAAGCTGCAACTGCAGAGGAGGGAGCTGCTGCAATGGAGACACAAGCAGAGGTACAGGCACTGCTTTATTTTTTCATTGTGATTTATTGATTCATTCTTAGTCCGGTCCATCAAAGACATGATTGTGTATGTGTCCGTTCATCTAGGGAGAAGCAGCCACCGGAGCCGCCTTGAATCTGCCCTCAGAGCTGATGTCTGAGGGCCAAGGAGCGACACTAATGGTGACAGGGCTTTCAGATGAGGAGCTGGCTGTGACTGCAGCAGCAGAAGCTGCAGCTCAGGCAGCAGCCACTGAAGAGGCCCAGGCCCTTGCTATTCAGGCTGTCCTCCAGGCAGCTCAGCAAGCAGTCATGAGTGAGTTCTGCTATTGTTTGTACAGTTGGATCTCTTGCTGTGATTTGCTTTGTTTTTCAGTATTGACACCAAAAATGTATCTGTTATGGGAGTACGTGAAGTTTGAACAATTAGGAATTTTCACTGAAACTTTCCAATAACTTCAGTTTTCATGATGCTCTTTTTATCTTTGTGTGAATTTTTTTGTATAAAGATGAAAGCGATTCTACTGGAGAGAGCCAGCAGCCCACCAACATCCCCATTATGCTGACCCAACAAGAGCTGGCAGCGTTGGTTCAGCAGCAGCAGCAGCTGCAAGAGGCTCAGGCTGCTGCACAGCAGGCCAGTGTGGACACCAGCTTGCCGACTGAAGGCCTTGCACCCGCCGACAGCCTCAATGACCCCTCTGTCGAGAGCAATGGACACAATGAGATGGCGGCTGCAGTAACCAGTGCTGTGGCTGCACTGCTGCCTCGTACCACCGCTGAGAGTAAGATGATTAAAGGTTTTTAATGATAGTTTCCTTTGATCCTTTTTTATTTCATGTAGAGTTTAACTCTGTACTTGATGTTTTGCACCACAGCACTCGCTCCATCAAGCACATTTGCGCCCTCTGTATCAGTGGCAAGTCCAGCCAAGCTGCAAGCAGCTGCAGCTTTAGCAGAGGTCGCCAATGGCATCGAGGGGGAGGTGAGTTTCTGCAGTAATCCTGAATTCAAACTGGCTCAGCTAGGATAAGGGCAATAATGAATAATACATTTTTTTGTTTGTTTTACAGAAGCAAGGTCCTCAGCCAACACCAGTGAAGCCTGTTGTAAAGAAAGAAAACCAGTGGTTCGATGTTGGAATAGTTAAAGTGACCAATATGGTGGTCACCCACTTTTATGTGCCAGCAGATGACTCTCTAGGAGACGTAAGTGTCTCAGGAGGCTTTGTCTTTCCTTAAATTAGCGTGTTTCAGTGTTGTCAGCTCATCTCTTGTTTCCGTTCTTTGTTTGGCAGGATGACTCTGGCATTATGCCAGACTACAGCCAGATGAAGAAAATGGAGCTGCAGCCTGGAACTGCATATAAATTCCGTGTAGCTGGAATTAATGCCTGTGGCCGTGGAGCTTTCTCAGAGATATCTGCTTTCAAGACTTGCCTGCCAGGCTTCCCAGGGGCACCGTGTGCCATCAAAATCAGCAAGGTAACACAGCAGTAAAGCCTGTCTCTCCCTTTAGTCTGTAATAACAGGAAAATAGAACAAGTTTTTCAAGAGCCATGCTGTCAGACAAATGACGGGTATCTGTTCGCTGCCCCTCTTCAGAGCCCAGATGGTGCCCACCTGACCTGGGAGCCACCCTCAGTGACATCAGGGAAGATCATCGAATACTCAGTATACTTGGCCATCCAGAGTAGCCAGACAGCTGAAGCGAAGGCCTCCACCCCCGCACAGCTAGCCTTCATGCGTGTGTACTGTGGGCCCAACCCCTCATGCTTGGTGCAGTCGTCCAGCCTTTCCAACGCCCATATTGACTACACCACCAAGCCAGCCATAATCTTCCGCATTGCCGCCCGTAATGAGAAGGGTTACGGCCCTGCCACCCAAGTTCGATGGTTACAAGGTGAGGACATGATGAATTAACAACTAAGACCTGAATATCAGCCAGTGAGCAGTTAGGCACATGCGTAGGATAACATGCTAACTGAAGTGTTGTGCTGCTTTGTAGAATCTGGTAAAGATGCTGCCTCTGCAAAACCAGCCCCTAAAAGACCAGGCACCTCTCCTGATACGTAAGTACAGCGTTTCAGACTTCCACACAGGCCAGACCTCAACATGGCACTGATACGTGAAACATCTTATACTCATTGTGGTTTTATGTGTGCTTTTGCAGTAAGCCTACTGGTCCAAAGAAAGCACGGACGGACCAGTGAGGTTGCCCAGAGATCCCTCCCAGTCTTTTGTCCTTTTTCCACTTGCTGTCCTTTTATCAGGAAGACTGACCTTCACCCCTCTCCACCTCCTCATCCTCATCCTACTCTCATCCTCCACTCTCAAGTCTCAGATCAAAACAGCATTGGATGCAGAACAACTGAATGATGCAGAGATGAAAGTGAATCTGAGATGTTTCTGTAGATAAAAACCCTCCTTCCTCCTTGTTCTGTTGGTCGTACTATTTTTAGAGTAACAAACGTAGAAGCACATTATCTTTTTCAGTCACACCCCCTTCATCATTTGACTTCTACTTTTTGGCTTGTTTCAGTAGTTGAGCAGTATAGAAAAGCATTTACATCTTTCACAAACTGGGAGCCAGCCTGAGCGCAATGTTTTCTTTCTTTTTCTTTTTTTTTTTTTCTCCTTGTTTTGTGAATCCTGGGGGGATGTAGAGAGAGACTACATGAAAATGATGTACAGAGTTGAAAATGGCTGTGGAGGCATTAGTTTAGATGAGAGGAAAAACCAATATGGAATCAAATAAAGCACTTGTCCTCAGTGAAAGAGGACATCATTTTTTCCTTTCCTTTTTTTGCGCAAAACAAATACGCTTCATCAACAACCAAGTCTATAGTCGCTGTTCTGGACCAGTTCTGGACCCCAGTCACCTGGTTTTGTCATCACTGTGCGCTTTTTACCCCTAGACGAGGACTGGTGGCCGACACTTCAAGGTGGACAACAAAGAATGACAAAGGAAGAGATTCGTAGAGAAAGAATGACAGACTATGCTAGGACTGAGACTTGCAGCACACAAAAAATTTTGCAAAATCTTCCCAAAAAATTAGCAAGCAATGATGCAGATCTTTTGTGTAGTTTATTTTTGTATTTTTTAAGCTTTTTTTTTTTTCTCCTGTGTGTATGTGTATGTTGTGCATTTTTAAAAACATCACTTTTTTTAACTGTTGTTCATCCCCATAGTTTGTGTTCGTGGGAAGATGGGTGGCTGTGTTGAGGTTGCCACTATATTTTTAAAAATCTTCACTTGGTTGGTTGTATGTTCTTGATGTTATCAGATGGTAATGAAAGCGAGAAAGACTTTTGTATTTGTTCCAAGTAGAACCGCAGAGGTTATAGGACTGAAGGGAACTTTGAAGTGGACCCGGGAAAGGAGAGTTATGACTTTGTTTACTACTCAGTGCTTGTGTTGCTTTTTTTGCCAAACCTAAATTCTCACAGGGTATGAGGAAAACACCATCAGATCTTTTCATATCCTCCCTGATTTCCCATCATCTGTCCTACACTTTTTATGCTCATGAATGTGGTCTCACCTCTTCTTTAATTTTTAGAATGGGAACTTATATTAGTAGGCATAATTTCCCGATCCTATTAATGTATGTGAATCCATGAAAATAAATTTTTAATTTTTTTCCTTCCACGGCTCTGTATTTCAGACTACAGATGGTGTGCAAGCTAGCTGTGACGTGTCAGTACGGATGAATTTGAAAGGGGGGGGATATCTGAAGGAAGCTTACATGGCCGGAGTGTACTCACCTGTAAATTAGTTCGTTCATAGAGTAAGAATAAAATCAAAAAACATCTTGGCCTTTTATATAATTACCTGTAACAAACAGTTTTTACATGTTGGTCATCTCTCGATTGCCTTTTGTGTCTTTACTTATAAAAGAAACATATATATAAATATATATATATAGTCTCCCTGATTGTTCTAATTTGCTTCTGTCAGGCTGATTCACTGTAGGAGTCTGAATCACTGCTAGGTTCATCACAATACAACCTTGTACAGGGAGGAGGTTTCTGACTGGACATGAGTGTATATCTACTTTGTAAGGGCGGATTCAGAAATGATGGTACCAGCCAGAACGATCGGATCCAAGGTTTTCGCCTGCCGCCTTTTCTTCGGCTCGCACCTTGGTTTACGTTTGTGGTTTCTCCTGATTCCTTTCTAGAAATGAACTTTCTCTTCATATGCATTCATAATTTTTGTGCGTGTCAGTGTGTCTGTTGAACAAAACTAGACATGCATGCAAAAGCAGTGTATTTTAGTAGTGATGCCTTAAGTTAGACCATAAGCTGAAGGTTCTCAAAAAAAGAAAAAAACATTTAATGAGTTTGTTCCTCTCTCCATGTGGTATACAATTGTGTCCTTTCCTTCCACAGTACCTTTGGTGGGTCACTATTTTTGCACCCTTGTTAGATAGGTCATCATCAGCAGTGCCGAGGTCTCTCTGAACTTTCCCTCCCACACTGGGACGAGTGCTGCTCAGCATTCACAGGTGTTGCGAGTTTCTCTCGGCTGTTTGCAGGTTATCTGGAAATGTCCTGTATTTTCCAATGTGTGTTTTTTGTACTGTAGGGAGTAATGTATCTTTTATCATCAAAAAATAAACATGTTAAACATAGATGTCGTGTCTGTTATTTTCACTGAAAAGATAAGAACAACACACATACCTGTTGCAGGCCTCTCTGAGCCGCCTTCAGGAATGGCTTTTCCACACCCAGATCCTCTTTAGCTGTTCCTTCAAAGTATTCAGCTCCTATTTCTTCACACCACTGCTGGGCCAGCCTGCTTGAAACCTGGACAGCAAGATGACCATAGTGCAAACATCAAACCTTGTTAGAAGCATCTATGGTGTGAAACTTAGTGGAACTTAATACCCGTGCCACTACATGGGTTATCAGGAGAAGCTACTGTTGCTTCTCCGTGTATGGATTCAGACATGGTTACTGTACCAAGTAGCAGGATGCAGGAGTAGATTAAGTTGTTTAAATGTGTTAATTTCAGTGTGATTATTTTTCAGTGGTATCAAATATTTCTAATGCAGATTAATGTTCAAATTTAACACCAGTTGATCGACAGGAGTAAAATGTGCCTGTCACAAACCTCATGGTAATTTACACTAAGAAGTCTTGTTTTCCCACTGAGCAATAGACGGCTATTAGACGTCAAGTTATTTTTTAGACCTAATTTCAACCATCTAGATTCTGTATATTTTTAGATGGAATGTAGATGTTGCACTTTAACCCATTATTCGATAACTATTTCTAAAAGCAACTGTGAGTTTCATAACTGATCTCCAAGTACTTAACCAAAGTAATTATGATAACGGTTTAGCAATATACAGTATAGTATAGATACAGCTCAGATTTAGGCTTGGTCTAAATTTAGAACTTTCATTTTTAGACCTGTGGTAGCCTGATTTTAGACTGGTCGTCTAGGCTACATTAAGACATCTACTTGACCTCTTTTAGACCAAAAAATGCTCAGTGGGTTGTATGATCCACAGTCAGAAACACAAAGACTAAAATGAAATAACAGAGGAAGAAGACATATTGTCATTTAAAATGTCTTATAGAGATCCAGGAACCAGTTATGAGAGTCGGTTCTGATTACACAAACTTGTTTCCAGCAGAGTGCTTCATCAGTTATCAGCTGACATGAACCACCAGCTCTCTGGACTTCAGCAGCTTGTTGAATGAATAGAATTAAAATGAATACATCTAACTTTGCGTTACAGTTTTTCTCCAACTGCTTTAAAGCTGATAACTTTTAACGGTCTTGCCTACTACATGTCTTAGAAGAGTGACTGCACAGTATCCCTACTATTTGTGGATGGCTTTTTGATCATTTCATATATTATACCAAGGTGCCACTTTGACTCACCTCCCTGGTGCCCAGATCCGTTTTGTTGCCCAGTACAATAAAGGGGAAATCAAAAGGGTCTTGGGGATCACCCTGGATCAGATACTCCTGCCTCCATCCCTCCAGTGCAGAGAAACTAGCTCTGGATGTGACATCAAACACCAGCATGCAGCAGTGGGCCCCTTTATACAGAGGAGTGCCCAGGGACTGGAACCTTTCTGTGCCTGCTGTGTCCCAAATCTGAGGAGGAAGACTTCTGTCACACATTTTTCCACAAATCTTCATTTGGTTGTGTTTCACTGCACATGTGCCTACCTGTAGGATGACAGTTTTCCCGTCTATGCTGACTTCTTTACAGAGGAAGTCTGTCCCGACGGTGGCCCGGTACGCACCCGTAAAGCGGTGATTCACATACCTGTTCATGAAGGAGGATTTTCCCACCCTGTGTAAACACACACACACACACAAACACACACACACACACACACAAACACACACACACACACACACACACACACACTAATTTTAGGGTAATACACATCTGAAACACACTCTTGACCTCTGATTCGGACATTTTTGGGATCACCACCAGGATTTACACCGCAGTTTTACAATAAATCACAGACTGAGATTATCGAAAGTGAAACTGCTGTCGAAAAAGAGTCTGTTAAAAACTTTTTAAAGAATAATAATATAACAGCTCAGAAACTTTACTTTACCCACTGTCTCCTATGAGGATAATCTTCAGGACCGGACTCTTTCCACTGTTCATGTTCACCTGTTACCACGGCGTTAGTCCGTCACATGAAGCTTCAGCCGCTGCTGCCTTCAGGTGCTCCTCGTAACTTTGACTTTCACTGAACTCGTGTTTTTCAGAGCAGTAAGTCAAAACTTTCCTAATCATAGCTAATTAATGTTTGTGGTGTAAAATCTCTTAGAGTCTTCTAAACTGTTGAACTGACTCAAAAAAACAGAGAGACCACTTTTTTACGTTTTTTTTTATTTTTTTTTGGTGGAGTTTTAAACATTTTTAAGATATAATTCATCTATATACAGTCTAATGTTTTAATTAGTTTTTGAACGTAACACGATAAAGGGCACATTTTCTTTTGTTTGTTGCTTTTTATTTGTTTAGTTTTGTTTAATTGTAGACTTTAAACTTGTCAAATTAAACCAAATATTGTTTTCCAATTGTACCGGATAGTACAATAGTTACAATGGTCACAGGTAAGCAATACTGCCACAAAATAAATAAATAATTAAAAACTTGATTGTTTGAGAATCTTTTTCATTTGTTTTTAATGTAATTAAAAATTTGGGAATGAAAATCATTAATCGAAAATCTATCATCAAATATCCTATCCTATGATATGATATTCGATTATAGGCCATTTTACAGTTCTTTTATCGGACACTAGGTGGCATATTACACCTCTGTAGTATATCATTTTCCTTCCGGATCTTTGTGTTTGATCCTCACGTGGTGTTGTCTTCTTCACCTCCACTGATGCTTTGTCTTACAAAAACTTCTCACCTGAATGTGAGGCGGTGGGATAATATTTTTGGAAGATCCTCCAGTTTGAGATCCAGCCAAAGGTTCAGAAACATTTACATTAAAACAAACATAACACCATCAATTTAATATTGTATTTACATAGATGGTATTTTGCACTGTGTTAGAAGTTTATATGCCCTCAAAACACGTGTAAAATACACATTAACACAATAATAAAAATATACAGTAAATATTAAACATTCTGTAAACTTCCTTTAATCCCACCGAGATGCCTGGCCTTAGAAAAATGATTGCTGTGCTGCATAAAGATCCACAAGACGGTGCATTTTATTATAATGGACACCTCAAAGGTGTAAAAAAAGGAGGATAAATCTTGGCAGGAGGTTTATGACATTAACTTCTAAATGATATGTTGAAGAAACAAACACAGAATAGAGTTTGATTTAAACTCTGGGCAACTTTTGTGTTTCTTCATGTTTCATTTGACAAATCTTAGAAATGACTGAAAATCTGATTTGTTTCGTAAATGTGGCAAATACTGGGGGGAAAAAATCCTTAAATTTGACTTTAGGGAGCCTGGATTGATATTGCTAATGATCATAGTATTATCACGCTAAAGGAGCTGATTCAGAGATTGCATGATACCATCAGGAGAAACAGTTTTTTCTACAACTACTAGGTAGCAGAAGGGTAAAAAAGAAAGAGGTTGTCATTGAATAGTAAAACACAATAAGATATATACTGCAAACACAAAAACAATCAAGTCAAAGCAAATAAATGACATGAAGATGTGCTTTCATTATTTCACACAGCTGCCTGCTGTTGAGACTTTCAGAGGGAAGCAGAATACTGAGATTACAAATAATCTGCAACCAAAAACGTGATATCTCAGTGATTAGCGTTGTAATACTTAGTCTTTTTCTTTCAATCCACCTGATCTTTTAGTTACTGTAGAAAGACACACTCATACTCTGCCTGATACACACAATGTCACATGCACACACATCAGAGGGGTGTGCCAAGAAAGTAAAACAAAAATGAATCACTCTTTGTTGACTAAAAGTGTGAGTAACTGATGAGAAAGTTGAAAAGCCCTGAGGACAACGGTGTGTGTGTGTGTGTGTGTGTGTGTGTGTGTGTGTGTGTGTGTGTGTGTGTGTGTGTGTGTGTGTGTGTGTGTGTGTGTGAGAGAGAGTGAGAGAGAGAGAAAGAGAGAGAGAGCAAGCGAGTGAGAGCAAAAGCTCTCCTGGGTATGTTGCTACTACTCTGTGCAGCAGAGATAAGACCAGCGCCTACTCAGAAGCCTGTTTCTTGGGAATTAGAAAGCTGTCCCCAAAGTCCACTGGTGACACACAACACCACCCATCATCATGCTATAGTAAGGCCACAACAGCTCTCAACTGTCCAACAAGTTGTCCCACAGTCAGCATCAACTGCCTCCCGGTGAGATACTGTCAATAAAGCTGACATTTTGTGCGTGTGTGTGTGTGTGTGTGTGTGTGTGTGTGTGTGTGTGTGTGTGTGTGTGTGTGTGTGTGTGTGTGTGTGTGTGTGTGTTTATGGGATTTATGAGCTACACGGCATTACCACAGACATGCTGCAATGTCCTGTAGGTCTGCATTTACGGATTTGCTGCTGTATGACAGTGAGCAGCGGGCCTGTAATTCCTGGCCTCCTCCTTATCTTGATAACTTCTTATCAAAGCAGAGCAGCTCGCTCTGACAGCGACAGCAGCCACATCCCTGCCCAGCTGTCCACACCGCCTCACAGACCTCCTTTCACTCCTAATATCACTTTCATTCACACAGACTGCGGTTCAATTCTTACATTACTCTCCCCAAAAGAAACCGCTTCTTTAATGAAAGCAAGTTAGGAAAGGGGCAACTTTCTTGAACCCCAGCCACACGTTGCTCTGTGTTTTTTTTTCAGAATTACAGCAAAGTGTGAGCTACTCTGCTACTAACTGAGAAGCTACAAAGCTACCGATTGGTACTGGATGCAACTGAGACAACTGTACTACCAAGTCTGTTTCACAAACCATCATAATGCAAATTATGTGTATTAAATTAAATTATTTAAACACCAGTCAGCATAAGGTTTTTTTGTTTTTATGGTTTAACATTCCAAAAGGCGCAACAGTGATAATGAAGGATGTCTAATAATAATAATTTTTGGATTTAGAAATATATAATATATATTTAGGCATTAAATCCTAAATAAAGATTAAATAAAGATTTTTTTTTAAGTCTTTGGTTAGAAAAATGTTTGGTATCCAATGTTTCATTTGACACATCGTAAAAGAAACTGAAAGTCTAATTTGTTCTGAAAATGTGTCAAAAACGGAGGGAAAATCCACTCGTTTTAGACTCTGTATTCCATTATGATCCATTCATGATGAAATAATATTTGGCAGCAGGGATATAAAACAAAAGTCAGTGGGATCGTGATACAGTCTCACTTAAACCTTTGTAAAGACAGTCAATACATTAATGGTTTGGAGACAAATCACCCAATGAGACACATTTTCACACACATCTGCACAACTGATCCATACTGAAGTATTAGATATGACTTCACTATAGTTAATCATGGCTGTATTGACAAGAGGATTTTAGTGTCGCTCAGTTTCTTGATGCTCGTCTCATCAAAACTTCAGTGGTACTTTGACCTTAGTTACCTTGACTGTATTTCAAGCTTGTTTCTCTTAGTGCAGGATTAAGATCTGACTTTGCCGATTATAGAAAGAGTTTAAGTTAAGTTTAAGGAAATTGGTGAGTTGAGTCAAATGTTTTCCTGAGTATTGTGGCTGATGCATCAATTTGCATCTTCATTCCCTTAAGCGGATAGGATTTTAATATAACTGCTGCAGGTTCTTAAGTGACTGAAAAAGGCCCATTGTTGCAAATACATAGAGGCCTCAACTGTTTTCTCCCCTGATTTACCTGAAAACTGTAAGTGAACAAAGAGAGAGGAAAGTTGGGGAGCTGCTTTGACTATCAAATGACCGGGACAGTGTTGGACTTGTGCAGGGCCGGGACGTAACTAGACCATATCTCTCCCCCATGATTGCAGCACCTTTCCCGATTTGCATTACTGTGTTCCACTCTAAGCTTTGCTGGACCACAAAGAAATTGAGTCTTTGCATTTTATATTTGCTTTGTTCAAATGTCTGTCCACTTTTTTCCATGCAGGCTCGTTCTTATCAGGGGCTGTATGCACATTTCATCAACAGACAATTAACCCCATCCAGCAGGCTTTCTGTCTTGTCTGGGACTGGATTGTAGAAGCCTTAATAATATATTAAATTTGTGAGTGTGTGTATTTGACTGTGACTGAGCCCACCAAAAGTTCTCTCAGTCGTGTGGGTTAAGGGTCATATATTGGGACTGATATGTGGTGCTTCCCCTGCTGAAATCTTCATTTAGAAGGATGTTATCAATAGAACTCACACTTACAAAAGAAGAGGAACCAAGATTTGAGGCAGACACCTCCACCTTTGCTTGTCCCTTTAGAAATAAAATATGTTAGATATATTTTTTTATATAATCTGTTGATGAATGACATGGTTAGACATTGAGAAATGTTCAGAGTAGTTAATTGTGTGATATCTGCTCTCATACTTGTTTTTCTCTCTGAACAAAGAGGTGTGTCTTTTAAAAAGTTGTCCCCGACCCCTCCCACGAAGTGTCTCTTACGCCTAAACTTCTTCGCTGGTGCTTAGAGAAATTGTTCTAGTAGCCATCAGCCTTTACCGCGGTAACCACCTTATCTTTGCTGCCTACCTGGTAATATAAATAAAATTCAACATCTTTGACTCCATCGATCATCTCCTCATCTGTGACATCCACACAGGTAGGTGACCCCTCAGTTGTTTTTTTCCTGCTGCTCTTACTCTTCTGCAGACACAGTATATAATCCAGATAAATTAGGGAAGAGCATCTAGGTTAGAAAAACATTTTTTTTCCTCTGAACTTTTAATAACATTACAGGCCATTTACTGCTTAATGACTGCGACTCAAGATCTTGATTTTGGTTCATTTGTTCATCCCAATGTCATTATTTTGGGGTAAAAAGTGAAAAACTTGAAGGGGCAAAGTAAATTTGATCAGCCATTATTTGGCTCTCAATGCTGAGTGACTTTTAAATATCACTAAATTAATATTTTACTGTCTTGTCTTCCGTGTATATGGTAGCCTATACACCAAAACAGCTAAAAAAAAGTGGCTCATTGAATTTCTAGTTAAATAAAACATCAACTACAATAACTTTGCTAAGTGTGGAGTTTACAGCTTGAAAAAAAGTAAAAGTGGTTAAATCTAACTAAATGTAGTTGTTGCTGTCTGTGTTTTCTCTCATTGTCATGCTGCCTCATCCATTTTTTTTTACATTAGTTGTTGGACAGATTTCTATTAATCAGATGAGATTAGGGTCACATAGTGTCTGTGGAGCTGGATATATTTAGCTTTATAATAATGCTGTCTATCAGATTTTCTCAGACTTTATCAGACACTATCAGCCCCTTCTCTTTCCTCTTCTCTTTCCTCTAAAGATATGGAATGAGTGCGGCCTGTCATTGCAGCTCTCATAATATTGCTGTAACGGTCACTGCTCTTTTTCAGTTTCAACTGTCTTTTGAGTGATTTTCTGATATTTAAAAGGGCTGCTGGTGGGTTTTTTTCTCCTAAAGGGCTAAATATCTTGATACAATTTGTTTGGAAATATACACATCTGAATAATTCATTTTAAAAAAGATATCTGAAACGTGTGTGAAAGCAGCGGTACAGTCTGACTTAAACAAATCTGCCAGTTCACCTCACTTATTGTTATTCAAGTTGGGGTGTTGGGCTGTTTGTCCGCAGTTCAGGGTGTCCCTGAGGACATGTCTTTTGCATTCCTCTAACTGGCACACCTACAGTGAAAAGGCCACTGTGTAACCGTTTGGTCAGTGGCTTCATCACTACACTTTTAGACCCATTTATTTTTAGTTTTTACTTTCAGCCACTGTCAAACTTCCTTTTCCTAGAAAAGGAAGTTTAAAGAAGTATGCTGCTGAGAGATCATAAGTTTAGAGATATAAGTTTAAAGTACCTGCTACTTTGATGTCAGAAGTGCTCTGAAAATATGAGGTACATTAGACTCTATAAGCAGTGGTCTCATTGAGGCGTTTATTTGCTGGTTAATATGACTTAATATGACCCCAAAAATATATGCAAAATGTTTTAATTATGCAAAATTACCTAATTTTTATCTTATATAAATCTAATTTTTAAAAAAAAGTTGTATATTTTTCACTTTCTTGTAATGGTGGTGCTGAAGTTTGAGTTTTGTTCTGTCAGTATGGAGGATTCATCCGAGCAGTCTCACTGGGTGTCCCCAACTCTGCTGAGCTCTGATCCTCTTGCTGGTTTTCCCTCTGAGTCTGGCCTTCTGCCTCCAGGAGAGGATGGAGAGCCTTTCTTTTCCAGCCAGGACACAGACTACACCGGTCTGCCCTCTTTCTTCTCCAACTCCAGCCACAGCCGAGCGCCATCCTCCTACAGACACAGCTCAGGTCAGTACTCCTGCCTGCTGTCACCCATCATCCTCATTATTCCTCCACCTTCTGAATCATCTCATTTTACTCATTTTCTCCTGTTTTCTCTATAGTTCGACAGGTGTTCACTTCACCAAGCCTCCTCAGTAACTTCCAGCTGCTGGACGGACCAGGCAGCCACACCCTGAGCTCATCCTATAATCCTCCCTCCTCCACTTGGAGCAGCAGCCCCCTCACCAAGACCACACTTCACTCACACACCCCTACCTCCCTCTATACCCCCGGTGTCACCTCCTCCTTTACCACCTCCAGAGATGGATACTCATCTCCGAGCAGAGAGGGTAGGGAGAGTCCCAGGTTGCAGGAGGCCTTGAAGGCTGAGCGTCTAAGCCCACTGGGAGGATCAGGGTCCAGCGGCAGTTTCCTGAACCTGACACCTGCTACAGGGAGTGTGTACACCTCATCGACCCACTCCCACCCGCACATGCTGAGCCCCTACAGCTCATATATGACAGGTCCACAAGACTACAACTCTGCTAGTCTTTACTCCAACCCTGGAGCATGGATCAGCCCCTCATTCTCCCCCAAGCTTCACAGTAAAATGAGGATTTCCACTCCAGGTAAGAACAAGATCAGGTCTTTAATTTAAAACAGATCAATTAACGCTCCTGGAAAAGAGTTTTAAGATAGTGACTTCAATAGAAATATAATCACAAAGCTGCAACACAAAGGTACACTTTCAAATTCTCACAATAAAGATGTGAGTAAAAAAAAAAAAGAGCCAAAAAGTCAAAAGCATTAATCCATAGTGGAGGAGTGTGCTCAGCTCGGCTGGACAAATGGAAATGTCAACACTTCTGATACTGACAGAGATCATGTGACATCTGTTTAAAGCAGCTGGATCTGTTATATTTAATGTTAAACCTTGCTCAAGTTCATTTTTGAAAGTTCAAGTTATCAACACTGACAGACATTCTCAGAGTGGGTAAACAAAGTCAGCTAATGAAAGTAAAGTGCTGCACTGATGATAACAACTGTATACTCTCGATTTATTCAGAGGCCAGAGAGTGTGTTAACTGCGGGGCCACAGCTACCCCTCTATGGCGGCGGGATGGTACAGGCCATTACCTGTGTAATGCCTGTGGACTGTATCACAAAATGAACGGCCAGAACAGACCTCTCATCCGACCCAAAAAGAGACTGGTATGACCCACTGAACACTTGTTTGGCTTTGTGAGATGTTTGATAAAGTAGCGTAAAAAACACATCAGTGTTTGTTTTTATTGTTTCAGATTGTCAGCAAGCGGGCTGGCACACTTTGCGCCAACTGTCACACGAGCACAACAACACTGTGGAGACGCAATGCCAATGGAGAGCCTGTGTGTAATGCATGTGGCCTTTACTTTAAACTTCACAATGTGAGTCACTCATCTGCATAAAACTCACTGTTTTCGTCACATTAAACACTGAGAACATTGTACCTTCATTTTCATAAACTCGTCTGTCTTTTCTCAGGTCAACCGGCCCCTCACCATGAAGAAGGACGGCATTCAAACACGTAACAGAAAAGTGTCCAGTAAGAACAAGAAGAGCAAGAAGGCGGCCATGTTTGAGCCATACTCAGATGTGACTCAGCCGCCTTCCACCTTGGATGGCAGTGGGGGCCCCTTTTCCCTTGGCCCTGGTACTCTCCTCACCTACAGCCACGCACCTCACCTCATCCCAACAACATCACCCCTGCATCCCTCAGCCTCCCTACCCTACACACACCACCTCAACACTGGCATGGTGCCGACACTGGTGTGAGAAACGTGCACCTGCAAGCTGTGTATGTTTGGGAGGTAAAATGTCTGCTTTCTTGACAGTTATTTGTGTGAAGTTGTACATATGTGTTTTTGCTATGAATCATGTGAATAAGGTTATCATTTTAATTTCACTGTGTTTTTAAAGGAAACACCAAATCTGTACGTTATTTTTATTATCAAGTGTGTGTTTGATGTCAGAGAGGAAAAAATGGTCTAAGATGTAAAAACAAAGATTTAATTTGACCTCCATCTGAGTCTTTGTTCTTCTTGCGACCATCATGTAATATTACACTTTGGTTTTCTGCTACACAGGTCTCTTTTGTATTGGATAAAATAATATTGAAACATTGAAACTCTCTCAATAAAAAAATAAAATAAAATGTGTGAGTTATTTTTGCTGTAGTTTTTGGTGTCATTTGAATTCTCATTTTATCTGTTTCTGTCCAGCAGCTAACCACAGTAACACCTCCTGAGTGGTGTTATTGTCCTCCCTTACTCAGGTATAATAGTCTCTTTGTATGGGCACCTCTGCTTCAACAGTGTAGTTGTATGTGTATGCAAATTCTCTATTCTGCAGACGAAGCCAACATTCAACTCAAGAGCAAAACTTAGCTCTGGGTTTCATATTTGGCACGGCCAGTTGTCAAGTTCATTAATTTTGAATGTACACACACAGGGTCATGTTTGTGTCAGTCATTATGTCTGAGTGGTCATGACAGGAATTATTTCATGCTTGAAAATTCAAATCTCATCTTGAGTTCAAAATGTGAAAGGCTGCAGGAAACTTGCTTAGTAATGATAAGGTACACTATGTCACATAATGCTATTTATTCTTCCCAAACCAGAGCAAAATCACAGCTGTAAGAAAACTAAAGTTTTATAGTGTTTAGATTGAGTCAGCTGATGAAACACAAGACAAGCCTGAGCAAACTTTGACTACAAGCCTTATCAAACATTTAACCTTTTTCAAGTGAAGTATCTGCCTCCTTGAATCAAACAAACAGGGGATTTCAAAGGACAGTGGCCCAGTGGTGGGCAGCTCTGCCTCCCATACTTGCTGTTATGTTCTGGGGAGTAATAATAGTGCACTGTCTCTCTTAAAATAATAATGGTGCTCGAGCATTTGGAGCTTTGGACGCGAGAAGAAGGGGGTTGAAATTTTTGCTTGATTTTATAAGGACCAGTGCAAGGAGGCCCATGGGATAAATATGATCCGCTTGCCAGCAGCACATACTGCAGCAATTAGAACAACCATTACCTTTAAAGAGTCTTAAAAGACCAATAAAAAAAGCATGGTATTGGAAAACTGCAATAATCTAGACTTGAATAATAAATGCACAGACAGATCTGAAACCAAGTTTCACTTACTAAACACACGTTCTGTTTGAAATTACATCTGTATCTGCAGCATTCTCTAAAGATGAATAATATGAAAAGTTAATAAAGTAAACATGATGTCAAAAAGTTGGACTAACATTGTCAGAATATGTAATAACTAAAATTAGATGTGTTGTGCAGACTATTAAACACACTATGCTGCTGAGATTGTTTTTACTGCACCCTTGTTGCATGCAGTCTACCGAAGATAATTATTATATACTGATAAAATTGCCACAAAGACTCATTAGCTGGTTGTACTAGACTTTTAATCATAAGTTCTTTGATTTATTTTTTGTCACAAAAGAAATGTGAAGTCGAAATGTAATAAAGCATTTGCAGTTGGAGAAAATCAAATTCAACCTGAGAGGAAAGATAAAAATGTTTTACTCAATATGGCAGCCATTTATCGCCCACTATAACAAGAAACAGCCCCATGAAAACATAAGAACTTAGCAAAAACTGGAGCGCTTGACATCCTATCAGTCCTTTTCTATTATTATTATTTTGTATTAGTCTAAGGTATGGATAAACAAACTCAGATTTTTGTATTTTATGTTTGAAAAAAGAAAAACCCAGAATGAAGAGATTTTAAAAAAAGAAATGTAAAGTCTCGACATAGAAAATAACTTATTTTTGAGATTGCCCGTTTTCTAAAAGGTAATAAAGTCCAAGTGTTGTTATTGTGCAGTTTTTCTTTTTCTTTTTGTGTGTGTGTGTTGTTCATGTTAAGCAGCAGGGCTGGGGTCGCTAACTCAGGACTGGGGAATCACTGATAAGTTATCATTATGCTGCAGACGTAATTCATCCACCTGCTGCTGGCACCGCCACTCTCACACCCCCTGTCAGTTAGTCGGAGAGAGGCACCATGTGCGTTTTCTACATAAAGTCAGAAACAAAAGTGAGAGCCCTAACCTGTTAATGAACATATTTTGTAAACCTAAAAATGTTCAGTCACAGTTTCAAAATCACTGTGACATGACAAGTTTCTTTCAAATCAGTCCTGTCAGGTTTCATAATCTGTGAGAACCCAGAAAACGCTTCACTTGAGGCAGATCTAAAAATGATCACACATGCTGTGCTGTGTGTTTCCACAGCAGATTTGTACACGCTTCACTGCAGACTTATTGGAGAGACAAGACTCTTTTTTACTTTTTCTGCAGCTTTGTGAGGTCAACCTTGTAAACATCTGGGCACACCACCCACTTATGACTGTGCAGAAACACACAAACACACACGCACTCACCAGCTAGTCACCCACACACACACAAATATGGATTATAAGCATTTTTCCTGTGTTATCAAACAAAAACAGCAGATATGTTTCTTAGTTGTGCAGCTTAGCTTAAATTCACCAGCACAAGATTATTTTTCTGCGCCCTGATCCCCCTGAGGCCTTCATAATGAGAATTGAATGTGCTAAAGGCCCCTGAAGTCACAGAGTGAGACAAGGGGGTTTCTATTCAATATGCCCTAAGTTAACCCTAATGTAAAAGAAGACATACCTTCAACTACGTATACTGTTTTCTCTTTAAGGAACTTGCACAACTAGTAAAAAATAAATAATAATAATAATAATAATGATAATAATCCTGACAAAAAAACGGTAAAAAGAAACTTAAAAATGTGGATGCTTGTGCAAGCTGATCTATAATTTATACTCTTTTCCTTATGTGCCTCTATCTGCTGTTTATCTGCTGCAGCTGCCAGCTCTACTCTGGGGAAATGGCAACAAATGCCTGTAAAAGATTAGCAACCACAGGCAAGTTGACTCACAAGGCCATCCGTTAGTGGCCCTCTCACTCCTGCTACTTCACTCACTTTTTCATTCATCTGTTCTATCCAGCAGACTTGTGCAGTGTCCTTAACTGTAGAGGGGACAGATGACGGAGCCATGCATCTGACATGAGGTTCTTTCACAATGCAGAGGTCCTTCGCAAATAGCTGTTTGGATTGCTGGTCGGTTTGAGTGACACCCTCACTGAGGAGGAGGTTTTTCTCACCAGCAAATGTTTATTCATACTCAACCTTTTGCATGTACCCTACAGCAGTGAAGTTTATTTGGAAGCTACCTCAACTTTTCCCTCAACATACTGTGGGTTTATTCATTTTAAAAATGAAGTGCACTAGCACCACCCAAAGGCAACAGAGCAGACACAGCTTTCCTACCTCCAACTGCCACAGGATGTAAAAGTCTTGACACTGCACTTCAGAGATAACACAGTTTTTTTATGCATATGAGTGTGTGTGGTTAATGCTGTCATGTACACTGCTAATGCATATCATAATTGAGCTGAGCTGACAATAAATTCCCGCACTAAAACTGAAAGAAGTTTTGCACCCTAGACTGATACTGAATTAACTGAATTACAACAAAAGTCGATTTTTTGGCTAATGTGGTACAGATGACAAGGTGTAGTAATGGAACGAATATCATGTATATCAGCACAAAACATCAGTCTCAAAGCATACATTATTTCATGCACATTATTTCATGTTCCCTCTTATGTGACTTATAATTGTTCCAGATGCATTTCTTTATTGGATGTACTCAACAGTGTAAATTTACGCCTGCTGTTTTATTATGTATATTATCTTTTAGACTCACAATGTTAAATTTTGTCATTTCTCATTAATATACAATCAAAAACACCAATTTTATATTAAATTGATCTAGCATTTATAGACATGATTTTCAATAAACTAAAGTTAAAGCTAAAATTTCAAGACCTTTTCCAAGACATCTTTGAACTTAGTTTATGGAAAATTTCTAAAACTCCCCAGGTGTTATTACTGGGAAAGCTGCTGTCTGAAATGTAAAATAGTGCTTATTGAATTTACTATTGATATACACTACAGGCCAAAAGTTTGGAAGCAAGATCAGATTTTTACAAAAAAAAATCATAGTTTCATTAATATAATTTGAAACACAATAAACATGACTATTGTGTAAAGAGTAACTTATCAGAAGACATTGTGACTAGTGGTGCAACGGATCACAAAACTCACGGATCGGATCGTTCCTCGGATCAAGAGTCACGGATCGGATCATTTTTCGGATCAGCAAAAAGAAAAAAAAAACAAGACAAATAAAATATATAAAAGTAGTGCACAGTGCATCTTCTTTTTAACATAATTATTAATGAAAAACAACTTAAAGTACAATATACAGGCATATCTCCTTCCTTTAAAATGTAACAATGAACCAAAAATGAAGTGTGTGCGCGATGGGATGTCGTAACGTGGCTCAAGCACTTTCAGCATGTTTTTAAAGCCCTCGTTTTGCACAACTGAATACGGCCTCATGTCTGCAGCTATAAACACACCGATAGAGTTTGTGAAAGCTTTAGCCTGGTCGGATTGCGCAGGAAGAGGCTGCTTAAATGCTGCGGTGATGAGCGGTTGTTGGGCAGCTTTCGTTTTATCTCAGGTGTTATGCCAAAGAATGCACCCCTGCCGTATAGTGCACCCCCTAACGGGAGCGCGGTTGAAAGTACATAACAAGGCGAAATAATACAAGTTTTCCTTACGTTGGATGTATTCAAAAGCGTTTGCCTTTAATAATTTCATTCAGGCTATTCATATCAAATATGAGATCATTATCTCCACTTTAAGAAGCTAACGGGTGGAGGGGATGCAGGGGGTGCGTTCTACGGCAGGGGTGCAATCTACGGTACAACACCTGTCAGTAAAACACCCGGGTGATGTCGCTTCAAATGCGTGAACATGCTCGATGTGTTTCCACTGTCATATGGCTTTCTTATGCCACAGTGCCTACACTCCGTCGCAGTTTTGTACACTGACCTCTTTCCTTCTTCATCATAATTGACAGGGAAGCCAAAATGCTCCCATACAGGGGATTTAAGTGTCGCGGGGCGTTCGAGCTCCTCCTTTCTCCGCTTTCAGAAATCGATCCGCGGATCACATGTGTGCCGAACCGAATACGTCGATCCGAACGGATCACGGATCAATGATGATCCGTTGCACCACTAATTGTGACTATAATTATTAGGTATTTGAGTTATTGTTGCTTAGACTTTGCTTTCTTTAAAGTAACCTCCTCTGGCTTTAACAACAGCTTGGCTTATACCAGGCATTCGTTCCACAAGTTTTTTAAGGTATGTTCCAGGGATTGCATTCCAAGCTTTCTTAAGTTCATTAAAAAGATACTGCTGATTCATGGGACGTGCCTTTCTGACCGATTGATCCAATTCATCCCGCGCAAGCTCTATTGGAGAAAGGTCTGGAGACTGAGGGGGCCAAACCATCTTTTGAAGAACACCTCCCTCTTCTATTTGTCTAGGTAACCCTGACAGAGCTTGGCAGAATGCTTAGGGTCATTGTCTTACTGCAAAACAAACTTATGAGCCACAAGTCTGAGTCCAGATGGAACAGCATGGTGCTGGAGGATGGAGTGGTACTGTTCCTTCTTCATGATACTCTTTACTTCAAACAAATCTTCTACTCTATCACCTGCAAAACATCCCCATACCATGGAACTACCCCCTCCATGCTGAATTGTGGGTGTAACACATGGTGCTTTCAGATGTTTGTCTGCGGACATAGACGCTGCGTTTTGAACCAAACAGTTAAAACTTGCTTTCATCGGTCCAGAGAACTTGTTTCTAGTCATCATAACTCCAATTTTTGTGAGCTTTTGCCCACTCATATCTCTCTTTCTTGTTCTGTGGACATAGTGTTTTTTTTTGCAGATACACAACCCTTCAGACCAGCCTTTCTCAAACGTCTTTCCACGGTTGTCAGAGATATGGGTTTCGACCTTGTCATGTTGATTTCCTCCCTTATTCATGGTGCTGTCTTTCACCGATCTCTCTTACTGATGACAATATGTTTATCCTCTGCTTTTGTAGTAACTCTCTTTCGTCCAGGTCTTTTTCTATCATCATAACTTCCAGGTTCCTCTAGTCTCCTTAGAGTCTAGTGGACTCCTTTGTTAGACACCTTTAGGCCTTCATGTGTATCCTTCTTTCCTCAATGTACAAATCTGTACTTTTGTTTCTTCACTCAGTTACTTCTCTCTAGCCATTTCTGTGGTAGTTTGAACGCAATTGAGATTTATTTGGATTTTTGTATGCAGACTCTCAAAAGCCAAAAAGTTAAAGTGAATAATCCAACTGTGATTTGTTTTTTTGCTATTGCACTGAAGCTGTGACTCTTGCAAATGTTTTCGACCCTGCAACTAAGCCCTTATTTTCTTTTGCTGACATATATTTAGTAATGGTCTGTTAACATCAATGTATATCTAAAGGTAAATGGAGTAAAATGGTGCATTTCCATGAAAGCAACATCTGATCATGGAGTAAATACATCCCAAAATACATAAAACTCATGCTGGATTTTGAAAAAAAGCATTGTGAACAAAAACTTGAAGTTACTCCCAACTGTTCGGCCTGTAATGGCCTTGCTTCCAAACTTTTGGCCTGTAGTGTATATTTATTGAATTCTTATTGAATTTTCCTTTGGGGATCAATTAAGTTCTTATCTTAGTGTGAAATTAGCATACACCGTCTACCAGTTCTATATAGATCATCTTGTCCTCGGCTATAAAGCTCAGCTGCGAGGCCTCAGAAAAAGGAGATGGTGGGCATGTATAGACTGCCACAGCAGTATGTATAGCTCTGTGTTCCTGTTCAGACATTTTGAAACAAAAGGCATTGCTGCATATATCCCATATTGATCCTTACAGGTATAACCAGTTAAATAACGTTGTGTAGACATGTGTCTGCGTTAAGCGGTTGTTTAACACAATCAAAATAAGAAGACACAAGAAAAACATAAATATATTTATTTTTTTAAGCATGCCTAAAACTTCGGTACAGCTTGCCATTACACAGTGAAAAGAAAATATAACTTATATTCTTTGTTAGCTGTCTGTTTGTAAATAGTAAAAGTTGGTCCTTGGATAAAGAACATAGGTTAAGTAAAAACACACAGTCTGATCAAACCAGCTGATTCTGTTTCACTGATAGCTTATCAGGTTCATTTATTAAAGCACTTCCAGTCTGGTGAGTAACACCAATCAACAGGTGTAAATCTCTGCTGTACATTAGCATGTAAAAGAAAGGGGACAAAGCAGGACGTTACCAGCTCACCAAGCTACATATGATGAATACTCCCACAAGCTGCTTTAGCCAATGCTAATTCTGTCAGAGCCCCAGCAGACTGAGTTTTTGTAAACATTAACTTTATTTTTTTTTGTTGGTGAAGCATTACACAGGGTGTGCAGCAGTAAAAGAGATGGGATGCTTTCACCGTTTCTTGGTAATGCAAACACCCACCACTATTCCCAGTAGCAGTGCCATTCCAACTAGCAGCCATCTAGTGAGACTTTCCCGAGATCTCCTTGCTTCTGCAGCCGCGTCACGTCCAAAAATTTCAGCAAAGCAGTCCTGGAAGATTTCATTGAGGAAATAAAAGGTAAATTAATTGCATTACCCAGCAATACTTTCTTTTCACCTACATTAAAGCAGCACAAAGCAAAAACTGATGCTACCTCTGCACTGTATGTTTATGCAGTTTTTGAATCGTTATCCATCAAATGACGAGAAGTGAGACACATCAGACAATCATTTTGCACTTTTCCATTTCTATAAGGTTTCGAAGACTTTCTTCTAACCACTTCAAACTTCATCACTAACAGGATATATATATATAGTATATAGATACCCTATGCCCTTATATTTTGATGGTCTGTATTGACATATGCAGGCATCATTCTTTGTCCCTGTTTTTCCTTCTATTTTTGTTTGTAAAGTGAAGCATTGCGACTATTTAAGTATTGTTTTAAATGATCTGATTTCAACTATCTGTTAGGATATTAGTGAAGTGTTTGGTTTGCAGGGGGGGACAGAAAAAGGGGCGTAACAAACTAAATTCATAAACCTTTGAAATCCAATCATGCAACAGATAACATCACAAAATATCAATGGGAGAACATAGAACAAGGTTTAAGGACTATTCGTGAAGTTTGGGATGTTTCAACCCTTAATATCTCTGAATTAGTGATGATGACCTGTGGATTGAACACCAGTTCTGACCTAGATGACAGTAATCAGCACATCGGAAAATAATGTGTCATGCACCGATGTTTGTAGCCAATGTTTGTCTGTATCCTGTAGAATCCTATCCCATCTTCATCACACAGGGCAAAATCTGAAGTGCTACTATACTTTACTGCCAATTCAGAAAAGATTTGTATTGGTCGAAGAAGTCCCCTTCTGGACAAACTTTTGATTAACTAACATTTCTTTCAAACATGAGAGAAATAAAAATCTGAGAAAGATCAGCAACATGCAGTTAGAAAGACATGTACTTGGGCTTTTAGGAGGACTGTTTAGGGGAGAGATGACAATTAACTGACACCTTAAACATCAGTACTAGTATTTGCTTTGATTTTCACAGTTGGGGCATTTCCGCCCAAAGTACTTGGTTGTCGTTTTTTTCCGGTAGACTTACCCAACCTCCTTGGCTCTGGATCCACGGACTGATGTTCTCATCCAAGTACATGGTCATCCACTCTGCAATGCGGGACACCAGCTCACCCATACCCCTTTGGACACATTCCACACACAGCGCACCACCAAAAGAAAAAAGGCCCACGATACGCCCCCAGTTGACTCCATCTTTGAAAACTTCATCCATTACACTCTTAAAGCTATGGTAGGCTGTGTCAGGAGTGATGTCAAGCTGTGAAGAGAGATCACTGAAGGCCCGTGTAAATAGCAGTTCAAACTCATCCGCTGAGTCCCGAAGAGCTGCCTTCACAGCCTCTATGTCAGCACACGGGGAGGATGATGACTGCGGCTGGTCCTCTCCATTCCTGCTGTTGACCAATAAGCCGTTACTAGCAGCAGAGTTGTCCATGTTTCCCTCAGTCCTTTCACCAGCATCGTCTCTTCTTAGCACAGAGGTCGGGTAATTCCTCTGAGACAGTTTGTAGCTTATAAAGAACTCCACAAGCTCTCTGTTACTGTATGACATATTTTCAAAGTGTAACCCTCCGTCCGTCTCCACTCTGTCAACCTCCACCAGAGCTTCTTCACCTTACGTTGCCTGGAGACGAACAGGGACAGGACGTGTCATTTCATTCCTGATTTAAACAATAATAATAACAATAATGCTGATGACTTTTAGCTACCAAATGGTTTCCAGTAAGTTCTTAACCATTCACATATCTATAAGGCATTTTAAAATTTTGATTTAAGGTGTAATTCATCCTCATCCTTCACTAAGCCTCAAGTCATTGCTGTCAGTTATTTATGCTTACTCCGTTTTATTAGAATTTTAAACTGAGTACCAACAGTGCTTAATCACATACTATTACAGTAAAAAATGTTAACTATATGTTTCAGCAAATTGCTGATATGTTTGTAGAGTCGCATTAGATGATATAAGTAAACAAACAGCAAGAAAAAAATGCATAGGCTAACAATCATAATATCAGCTTTGGGCGTTGTGCATTATCAATCCAAGGAACATTAAGTCGTTACGATGTAAACAATGCAGATGTTGTGTATTTGAATGCACACATACACATATTGACAGTTTTGGCAACACGTTACGAAAATACTAGTAGGTTTAGCTTTGCATGCTAACTAGCTGTTTATAAACTGTCCAAAAGGAGCGAGAGAAGAAACTACAAACTACAGCCACTGGTCAGTTTTAAGGTGTTCCTCAGTGACACTCATACTTACACATGTTTAAAAGGCTCTTTACCTCACGGAGTGCAGCTGGGAAATGACTAATAGCAGCAGCTCTAAATACAGACAAAATATGGACATTTCTGCAGCAGTGGGCTCTGTGGCCTCGGTAGTGATGCACGCTGGCCATTGGCCAATTCTTTAACTGTACCAGCCAGAAGTCCCGCCTCATCTCACCGTTGCACCAATCAGTGTCCAAGAGGGACCGGAAACCGAGGGGCCCCCTAAGAGACCTCGAAGTCAAAGCTTGTGTGTTTGCTCATAATCAATCACAAACCTGAAAGCTCTCCAGATTTACATAAAGCGTAGTGTTTTTGTTTTATCACAGTATTGCACCTTTTTTTTCAGACCTGAAACACAAGTAGCTGATTTTTGCTCTTATTTCACTTAAACATAAAGCCTGTTTTAGCCAGAGCACGATTCTGTGCTTTTAGAAGTATGAATTAACATTAGTCTTAAAGGAAAAACTCCCCTCTTGAGATGGAACTGAGTTAAAAAAAAAAAAAAAAACATATTGGACCAGCAACCCACTTTGCTGTTCTTTTGAAATACTCGACCTTGAGTTTGTTTGGAAAATAAAATGTAAGACACTGTTTGCATCACAACTGGAGCATTAGCCAAATTTGTCATACACTGATTTATGAAAACTTAAAATTGTTTTTATTAAACAAACATTTATTAAAACGTGTACATAAGCAATAGGCATATCCTACACTTTCTAAATGTGAAATAACAATACAGTTCATTCACAGTTGAGAGAAACAACCATGGAACTAAAGGAGTTAAAAGTGTGAACAGGACAGACTGTGAGAAGAGCCTTAACAGGGGGCAAGGGCAAAAATATATACAACATTAATTACATCCCATGTATTTATGCATAAAATGTAACTTTTATCCTTCTTTTCAACACTGGACACACCTTCAACCGTTTGTCTTTGTTGCCCATGCCTGCAGAACCGATATATAAGATAAGTGATATTTTTAACCCTTTTTGTCGCTTGAATGTGTTTTCAAAACTAAAGGATTTCATAACCAAGGCACACTGCCAGACAATGACACTAACAGAGAGTCATCAAAGGTTTCTCATCTTGATAAGAGCTCTCCTTATCTTTAGAAAGATCATCTTCCCTCAGTGGGGCTGTCTCCTCTGTCAGATTTGCTGGGTCCTGGGATTTTACATTCTTGTCATGGTTGATGGCAACATCATCATCATTCCCGGGGTTGTCCTCTGTTTCCGGGTCGCTGTCAGAGTCTATGGAAATGGTCTCAGTGCACGTGCTGAGTTTTAAGGTGCAGTTAAGTGTTTCAGACTGCTTTTTTTGGTCCATGTTTGGAGCAGACTTTCCACCTCCAGGTGTCACTAATGACGTGCGATTAAAGACACTTTCCTCAAAGATCAAGTTATGCTTCACTTTCCTGACAGCGTGCATGTCAAAGCCCAGCAGCACTGACAATTTACTTGTCTGACAAAATTTCTCACACATTTTCTGCTTTGTAGCAAAGTCATTAGAAATGTCAGACTTCCACAGCCACAGACTTGCAGACAGCTTCTCCTCTTCTTGAGCAGAGAGGTATGGTTTCTTGTTGAAGTAGGCTGTCAGGAAATTTTTTCTGGCCTCATATGTCTTGTGCTCATAGCTTCTAGGATCCAGAGCAAGGCCAACAGCTTCACATGAATTTCCGACAGCTGTTGAGGATATTTTTGAGTCTTTGCTTAGTTTTAACCTTTTGGGGTTGGCACCAGCCTGTGTTGGCGGCTGCCTCTTGATGAAGCCAGCCCCTGATGAATTCAGGGTCAACGTGGACTTGAAGCTTTGGCTTGCCTGGCTCCTACCCACAGCCCTGCACTGCACAAGATGCAGTGTGATTGTGGAGGCAACCATGTTACTGGTGTACACTCCCAAGCAATGAATACACTTGTAGGTCATCTTTTTTTCAACAGGATGCATTGTTTGGAGCACTTGGTGTCGCTCTCTCAGGTGCATGGCCAGCGCATCAGAAATTGGACCTTTAAGGATGGTGAAACACAGCGGACACAAAGTCTTCCCAACCTCACTTTTGTGAGGCAACGACGTGAAACTTGGGGCAGCAACTGCCTCATTCTTCTGGATTGCTTTTGGAGCGCTGACTTTGATCAGAGGGGGAACACTGCTGTGAGCATGTGCAGGTTGACCTTGACCGTTGATGGATTCCTTCATGTTAAAAGTGAGGACAACCAGCTGCACATTACTTGACCTGTCTTGTTTAACAGTAAGATCAAAGGTTAGAGGTGATGCACCAGGGGGTCCAACAAAGTCATCAGGATGAGTCTGGGCCACGTGGTCCATGATTTGCTCAACACTGTGGAAAGCAACATGGCATTGTGGACAGGTGAGCCCATGGATCAGCATGTGGTTAAGCAGTGTATCGCTGGGCAGGTAGCGGTTACAGAGCAAACATTTGCTGGTGAAGTTGTGGATCTTCATGATGTACTTGGCCAGTGCCCAAACTTTCTTTGCTTTGTGAGCATTCTCAAAATGAGCACTGTAGAGGTTTTCGGGGAACAGCTCATTGCAAACTGTACATATCTTCCACTTCTGTGTCTGAGCTGTGTTCACACCTGCAGAGTTATTTTCAGCCACAGTGCTGTTTCCAGGATGTGTGATACGCACCTTCGTGGCTGTGGTGGTAGATGGATTTTTAACAACAGGGGGCACGGGTTTTAAATAGCCAATCACTGGTTGTGCTACTGGCCCCTGTGTTACTGCCCTGCCAACAGGTAAAGGGGTTTTCTGAGAAGCAGCTGAAAAGGACTGATTCCTGGAGACAATGATATTAGCATGTCCAATCATGGTGGTTACTTGTGCACCAATGCGTTCATGATACTCTATTACATGTTGTACCAGAGCCTCATAGCTACGAGTGGAAAACTGGCAGCGTTTACAGAGGATGTTGTTGCCATTGACAGAATTAGCACCATTTTTGACGGAAGATTCAGAAACCATACCTAGATATGGTGATACAATATGCTTAAAGTGTTCCCTGTAGATGTGCCTTCTCACAACATTGTAGAGTGTGTCCCGGAATGTACATTTTTTGCAAAAGTACATTGCTTTTTCCACACCATCTCCCTGTCTAGCTCTGTCAAGATAGGCTTTGTCCTTTGCTCCAAGTACAGCTCCCTGTGTGGTCCCATAATTTTGGCGTACTGAACTGGGTATGTGGAATATTTTTACATGCGTCTCCAAAGTTCGCTTGTTTGCAATGAATGCGCAGTATGGACAATTGAGCAAAATTTTGCTGTCAAAGATTGTCCTGTGTACAGTGCGGAAGTGATTTTTGTAGCCTGAGTAGTATTTGGAAGAAAATGAGCACTCTGTGCAGCAAAATGGCTTTGATCTGTATTCCTAAAAGACATAGAAGAAAATCCATTAGATAAAGCTTCATATGAAGATTTGTGTATTACAGTTTTTACAGCACTTGGAGCAGGAAGTGAGATTTACCTGTGCTTTAGAGTATGATGGATCCCATGCGCAGATATCAAGGCAGAGACTACTTTTCACAAATTGCTCATTTGGGCAAAATTCCTTGAACTCCTTTAGAAAAATCAGAAAGGCAAAATGACTCGTGGGCATAATACAAAACCATCTATGAGAAAACAAATAATCATAGTATGTAGACTAAGCTAACACAGTGGTTTCACACACATTTGAGTCTAAATCTTTTCTGTATAGACTTTTGAGGCATGAAAATATAATCCAACACAAGATGATTTGGGCCTGCAATAGCAACCACAAACAGCTTTACTAGTCAAGTCAACTTGGTTAGGTTTTTTTTTTTTCATGCAAATACATCAAACTCACCTCTGCTGCCTCTTTGCAGAACTCCAGTCCAATGTCTTCAAGTGCCCTTTTTACTTGTTTCCTCGCTCTTCTGATTTTAGTAAGGTTGTTAACTGGAAGCTGATACATCTCTCCTGAAGCAGCAAAAAGAAAAATATTTAATTTCATGCTAACAACCATGTGAACACGTCCTTTCAATAACTGGGAATATACATCCCAGGACATCCATGTAAAACACTGAGGTGGCCCGATAACGCACATGCTTCACGACTACTGTCCTTTTAGGTTTTCTAATCATTTCCCAACAAAGAGAGAAACAAGGCGCCAGGTGGCTACGTCTTGTACTGCTCACAGTCCATCTACCACGAGAATGCGAGTTTCGCAGATCGTGTTGTTAGCATTGTGGAGTAGCGTCCCGCATTAGCTTTGTTGGCCGCTCTGGTCTGCTATGTACCCAGTCAGCACAATGTAGTCCTCCTTTTCCGTTCCTACTGTTAAAATCAGTCCATAAGTGTCACTCACCTGATAATTCGTCTGGCGACACGCTTAGTTACAGTTTGCCTCACTACATCAAGGCCTATCAGAGAAGAGGGGTGAGTGTTTGCGGCGTGCAGGATCACCCTCCACAGAGCCGGTGCTGATGCTCAGCTCTTCAAGCTAGCTAACTGAGCTAGCTAGTTAGCTGTCACATCTGCTTTGCTCCCGCTGAAACTTAAAAAAGGGAACTAAATGCAGCACAGGGTGGCGCGCAACTAATGGGAACACTACACTACATGCAAGAATAAGAGGTAGGACCACCCAGAGCCGTCTGAGCACTTTTGGGGCTTGCAGCAATGGTTGGGCCGGTTCTTCTGTCACCGCTATCTCTAACCAACTGAGCCAACCCTCAATTCAAAATGGCGACGTCAATACGACGGAAGTTTAGCAGGGAGCCTGGCGGGGGCTGGACGGGCAAAAGTTAGTACATATATAATTTTTTAGATATTAAACAGAACTGTATTTCTTCAGGAAAACAGACCCCTTTTTAGCTATTTTATTTACTGTTAAAAGTACAATATTTATTCAACCATACAAACCAGATCAATTCAATGCAACACATCAGCTCTACAATAAAATCTTTTATGCTCTTCTACATTTTCAGCTTTTTTTGACATGAGCAGATAGGTGTGAATTATATCGAAAGGTGGCCTTATTATCTTGCTTCCTGTGCGTTGGGCATTGGAGTGAAAACTTACGAGGTTTTGATATTTATTCTTTGAGATGTAGTGGAGCTGGTGTACCAGTGTGTTATATATGAAGGTATTGCTTTATTTTCACCTTATTAACAAACATGACGAAGTAAAAATGTTACAACTAAAAAAAAAGAAAAACCTGATGTGTAGAAGTTTCCTTATCATACAATTATGGTGGAGTTTATGCCCAAGTGTTCATGATCCTGTAAACTGAATCTTTATTGTTTTATCTTTACTTGCTCTGCAACTACAACTCCGTATGAGCTGTTGTTGTTGTTGTTTTGCTGTTGCTGCTGTCCCCTGTCTCTTTCTCGCTCACCCTCGTTCCCTATTATTTCTCCCTCCCTTTCCCTTACCTATTCTCTCTCTCCTTCTCACTATTTTGTTATCTCTCTCTCTCTCTCTCTCTCTCTCTCTCTCTCTCTCTCTCCCCCTATCTCTCTATTCCTGCCCAACCCAGCAGCGGCCTGGTGGCTGTCTAGTATGAGTCTGGTCCTTCCCAAAGTTTCTACCTGTTGTAAAGAAGTTTTCCTTACCACTGTCACTCATGTTAGATGAGATGGGCCAAAACCCATCTTAGGTTGGGTCTTGATAATTCATCAAACAATGAGTGTGGTCTAGACCTGCTCTTTTTCTTTGGAAAGTGTCTTGGGATGACGCCTGTTGTGAAGTGGCACTATATAAATAAAATTTGATTGATTTATTGATAATGCTATGGACCGTCAGTGTAAGACAGTGATTTAAAAAATGCTGTTGTTTTCAAATCAAGAGGCTCAAATGCAGTTGTCCTTATTCCAGCGGCTCCATCACCTCCAGTACCACAGTACGGCTTCCAGTCATCACCAATCTCGTGACTGTTCTGTAGTCCAGGTAAAGAACACATTGTCCATTCACTTGGTACAGAAACTGTCGCACCTATAGAAAATAAAATTAAGCACACAGGTCTAGCTTTTGTCATGATCATAGGTAATCATTTCAAACTCTTCATAGGTTAAAATAGCATGTTGTGTGATGTGGGTTGCATACAGTGTATCTAACCTTAACTCCAGCAGCTGCTGCTGGGCTTCCAGGATCAACTGCCTGCACATAACAAGGAGCCATGCCTCTGACAACAAAGCCCCAGCCAAGGGCATCTCCTATCACCTGTCACGACAGGGAGCTGAAATGAATAGCACATCCTGTAGAACTTATAGTCAAGCTATCCCTGTGACATGAAATGCTCTTTGTGAGGAAATAAAATATCATCAAGTCAGGGCAATCTCTCGCTTCTCATGTGGGTTATGAAGGGTTCTAGGTGTGTTTCTCATTTTTAAGGAGATAATAAATGAGGATGCTTACATGTTGATCTCACAGACTTTTTGACACAGAAGAGTTTTATCCAATCACAGATGCTTCAATTACTCACTTTGGAGGACTTTTGTCCCAGATAAACTAACTTAGTTTATCTGGAACTCATTCTGATGCATTTATTATAGTTTTACATGAGTTCAACATCATAACTCACTGTCAACACTTTCTTGATAAAGGGCGCACCAGGTGCCAGGAGCTCTTCACATGTAATAATTCTTTGAAGTACTGTAAAAGTAAACAGAGACTTTGTTACTCACCTTCTCTCAATTTTGGACAATGAATTGAAGCAAGGCTTAACATATAACATATGTTGTCTTTAAAACACTTTGAAACATGAAACATTAAGTACACACTCGCCTGATTTGGGGTTGCATCTCACCACTGAAGATGAAGACAGCTGGACAAGAGGTGGAAAACCATCAGTGTGAAGCTGAAGGGAGTTTAAGCTGCCTCGACGTCCAGTAGGAACCTGTTTCATGTCTTTACTGGACTCCACTATCAGGAAAATGAGTATGCCATTAAGCAACTGTAACAAGGTGTGCTGATCATAAAAAGAGGACAGTGATGTTGTTTTACCAGACTGAAAAGCACTGCGGGGAACAAATGGACTATCAGGATGGTTCTCCTCCGGCGATGACACTGTAACACCTTCATCAGTGTCTCGTTCACTTTCATTCAACAGCTCAGAAAGACGGCGACGGCGGCGAAAATTGATGCAGAATTGATAGAGCAACCCACTGTCAAAGAAATCATGCTTCTTTGCAACTAATGATGAGAGAACACAAAACAAATTTCAAACAAGTGTCATAGCTTATCTGTTTTCCACAAGGTGTTCATGAGTATATTTGCTTCAGATTGCACAAGTCCCGGTTGGCCCCCGCCAGCAGCAGCTGTTGACAGTCAACTCATCCCTGCTGTCATAAATCAGAGGGCAATTGAGGACTTTTCTCACCATGCTGAATGATGCCATGCTCCTGCAATGCTCTGCACAGCTCTATACCCCTACGCCGGCTCTCTGCCTCTCCATTCTGCAGGAGCCAGTCAATTAACTGGCAGCCTGGAAAGGAGCGCTGATACGCAACACCATGCTCCTCTCTGAACTGTAGAATGGAGTCCTTGTCCCCTATGAGACTTAAACACACATAAAACACATATCAAGTTTTATTATATGCAAACGAACTTTGATGAGAACTGCAACAGACACACATACTGTGGGGTTTTGTGTGAAATTTACTTTTAGGTCTTTTCATCATATTGGTGCCTGTTATTGTGACTTTGACTGTCAAACACTCAAAGGTTAGCCTTTACCAATGTAACAAGAGAAACTCAGCCTGAAATGAACATCATCTCTTACTGTTCATACAGTTGCTGTCCACGCATAAAGACTTTCACCGCAGTATTGAAGGGAAATGTTCCATCATCCTTGCGAAAACGGTACAGTAGTTTTGCATCCTTGAAGACAGGCCTTTTATCGCACACTAAAATAGACAATACATTTTTGAAATTTACTCGTGAATCTTTAATCAAGTGAAGGTTAAGGTCCCCTATGTCACTCCATGGAAACCGGTGTCATTGCTTTTTTCTTACCATGGTGAACAATGTCATGATCCATGAGGTGCTGCATGAGACACACAGCAGTTTCCCGATCAGGAGCCTCTTTATGGCTCACCAACCAGTCTATCAGCTCCTGCGCCACAAAGCAGTTAGGATATGTGCGCAGGTGGTACCTGCGGTCCTTGATCAGTTTTCCATCATGGAGCCTCAGCCTTGAAATTAAATTCAAATTAGCAACCAAGAGAGTAAAAAGTACTACAATATCCTACTTTAGTGTAGTTACTTTGATTAAACTTGACTTAAAGTTACAACAACAATTATTTAGTGGCATTAAATGGTACATTACCAACAGTAGGGGTGAGCAAAGGAGCGTTTCAATCAAGAATCTGACTGCAGATACAGCTAGATATTCCCATCTCTACACACTGTGCCTCCAGTCTGTTTATCCACTCAAATAAAAGCATTGTGTTGTTTAAAATGGTTGTAGATGCAGAACTCAAAATCTTCTTGAAACTAGATTTAATGCATATTTCAAGGAATTAATCAAGAGAATACATAGATGTAGTAGGTACAATGAGATTTTTTTGACAAGATAAAATTTGAGTGTCTTTATAGAAGACATCATACGATAAGTTGGCTGTCATGCAGCTGATGTAAAGCTGAGCGCCAGTTTTTGTTGTTTTTTTTCTACTCGGTAACGGATGCTTTGTAAATCATACAATATTTTCAACAAAAAAATGCTTGAGTAAAAAAATGTACTGATTTAGAAAACAACCACTCACAAAAGCACAAGCACAAAAAAGCCATCAGTTACAGAAATGTGAGTAAATTAGTTTCTCTCCATCCCATGAGCCACACCATCACAACAAAGCCACATTTCTGACCTAAAGTCTTGCTTTAGTATAGTCTCTCTCTTCTTTCTTACCTGAGTTGCTCTCCAGCAATCATGACTTCGGCTTTATGTTGTCTCACCAAAGCTTTTCTTCTGATGCTACTTGTTCGCTCCATGATTGTTAGAAAGTGACTGAAGAGCTCTTTTAGTTATGGCTCTTTGTGTTGACAAAATAGCCCCTAAATCATACAGAACCACATTGCCATGTGGGAAAGATGTTGTGTATACAAAAGTGAGAGGGACAAAGACATGGTATATTTCTGTCAGGGTGTCCTGAATAGAAAGAATTGACCAAAAGGAAAGCAGCCACTGTGCAAATTCATGTGAATCTCTTGTGTCTTATTCTCTCCTGAGTGCTGGAGCAAACACCTGTTCTCCTTTTAGCTGCTCTGACCACAAACAAGACATGTTTAACTTGTTCTGTAGTCACTTCTGTGTTTATCATGAATGAATGACTGTTGTTAATCAACGCCACATTTTAAAGGTCATCAAGGAGACACCTGGCAGCAGAAAACCCAAAACACAGAGACACACACTGCTTGTTCTCAATTTCATGATTTTTGCCCCAGTCTCAATATCATTACAAGTTTTTTTTTTTTAAATTGAGCCTTGGGATGTAAAAGCACAATCACTCTCAGTGCATAAATCCTGCATATTTAAATGAAACTGACAGACTTAACACCTAACAACTTTGCTTTGTTTTGAGTGTGTTCCATCAATTAGTCACCTGATAGTGGGAGTTACTGAGTGGTTTTGCACACATAATAAATGTCAAACAAGTCCACCAGATAAGATCATCTTTTGTCTCAAAGAAGTGTTGATTCAATCATGACTGATACTGATTGTTTTGGTGTTATCTAATTTGTGCACCATTTTCCTGAAGCAGTGACTCTTTTAATGCATGTATCCATAGAGAAACTACAGTATCTGCTGCTCATGGGCACTTAGGCACTTAGCATAATCTTCTTTTTAACAGCTAAAACATGCACTGTGACTTTGTTTAGCTGGCACGAATCCTGACACGAGTCCCTGGGCCATCCTTGCTGAGTCACTCTGTCTCCACTCTTCCTTTATTCCCAGAAACTAAAACTGATTGAAACAATGTGATGTTGTTCTCAGACTGTATTTGCTATTGGTTTTGGCCGGGGTCCTCTAACTTGTCAGCAAAGCTTTTCACTATCTTTGGAGAAAGGGCTGCCTGAGGGGGTCATGTCAGGGTAGGAACATTGCTTAACCTTCTGACATCCTGTGTAGTTGTGTGTCACCTCTGGACACCATGAGGAGTGACAGCCCGGGAACTGACAGAGGATCCTGAAACTCGCAAGACGTTTTTATTCTCTTGAGGAAGTCTTAAGGCTCTGCTGATGTTTTTCTTTTCTCTCATTTTCATACAGATAATGAGCCTCGGTATACAGAACTAAGAAAGATAATGCTTATTCTTGCTCTTGCTAGAGGCTATCATGGTATGGATTTTTAAGAAGGGTGAGTATCTCAGTGACATGCAGACAAATAGCCACAAGATGTCAGTGTCCTCCTGTGCACAGACTGGGGCACAAAGTAAAAAGCAAACGTGAAATGAATTGTCTTATGGTCTCCTTGTTTGTTGTAAATTGAGTTGCCTATTCATGAAACACGTTTAAGTTACAACTCCTGTAGGTAAAAATGAGATTAGTCAAGTTAAAATTAAGATTTTTTGGGCACTTATATATATATATTTTTTTTTTAAAGGAAATTAGGCCTATGTGATTTTCTGTGAAATATTAAAACGTTAGGACTGTGCAAGGGTTAGTTATAGGTAGGTAGGTAGGTGAATATAAACATAAACTATAAACAGTCCGGATAATCAACTTTAACTAAAAAAAAAAAATGGGAAAAGGGTCAAATACTAATGAACAAAAGATGATGGTGCTGTGTCCGCTTTAAAGACGTGTGCAGGTTTTAGTCAAGTGACCATCACGAACAGCTCGTGAGCACAGGACAGACCCATAGCAGATTTTATGCAAATCCTCTATTTCTGTGTGTTTTCATTGGAGAGCAGCGTGGAGGTGTAGTCTGGAAGGCGTGACATCATGCCAATGCAGCTTTATGAAGAAAGTGCGCTCCTCCTGAACAGACAGAGAGGTGCGTCCAGACCTCTGAGCAGCGCTGATCCGCGTGTGTAGTTTGCCGAAGTCAAACAGACCGTGGGCTGAAGAATCACAGACTCGCATAGAGTTTGGTCAGGTGGGAGGCTTTCACGCACGCATGGTTTTCTCTGAGCAGACGTCGAAGTTGGGATTCTTTTTTTATCTAAAGTAAGTGCGCTTTCACTGACTGCATGAACTAGCTGTGGACACTGAAAGCTCATTCAAGAGAGCAGTTTGCCACCTGAAATGACGGCTGAGCCGCATACGCATTTGGGACTGCAAAAAACTAACATGGATTTTGTGAACGACTTTGACCTGATGAAGTTCGGCGTCAAGAAGGAAGCGATGCAGGGGATGGAGCGCTCTTTCATCGGGCCGTGCAGTCAGCTCCAGAGACCGGACTCTGTCTCCTCCACTCCAGCCAGCACACCTTGCAACTCGGTGCCCTCGTCACCAAACCTCAATCCAAACGAGCAGAGGAATAACCCCGGGAATGACCAGTTCTGGGTACCAAACAACGGGGGTTACCCACAGCAAATGTACCCCCAGGCTTTTGGTCTGACCCCCGAGGACGCAATGGAGGCCTTGATCGGTGCCACGGCGCAGCAGGGACACCCATCTGCACCCCACAGCCACCAGCCGCCACCTTTCCAAGCTGATTACGACGGGTACGGACATCTGTGCGAGCCTGGCCAGCACTACCCGGGACTCCCGAGTCACCCTGACTTGCAGGGCATCCCGAGCAGCCACTGTCAAGACCCCTTTCTCAAAGATGACCTGGGTAGCGCGTCCCCTCAGTCGCCAGAGGCCCAGCAGGTCCTTGGTTCGCACCACCACCACCACCTCCAGCAGCACCACAGCCGTCACGACAGGCGATCCAATGCTGAGAGCCACTTCTCAGACGACCAGCTGGTGTCCATGTCGGTTAGGGAGCTCAACCGGCTCCTCAGAGGCCTCAGCAAGGACGAGGTGATGCGTCTGAAGCAGAAGCGCCGGACCCTGAAAAACAGAGGTTACGCACAGTCCTGCCGCTACAAGCGAGTGCAACAGAAGCACATCTTGGAGCACGAAAAGACCAACCTGGCCTCACAGGTCGAGCAGCTGAAACACGAACTCAACAGACTGGTCCGGGAAAGAGATGCATACAAATTAAAATGTGAGAAACTGTCCGGTGCGAACTGTTACCACGAAACCGGGTCCACCAGTGACAATCCTTCCTCCCCCGAGTATTTAATGTGAGTTTAGTAATTTCCTGCTGGACTGCAAGTTTTCATAAATCACGGACGGAGGGATTTCTCTCAGATAATTGTAATAGATGCAATTAGGCAACAAGTTCTGAATGGAAATGACAATAAAGCATGCATGCAGGACATGTATGAGATGTTTTTATTATACACAGGCATATCTGTATTTTGTTTGAGAGGAGATGCTTAAAATCAGAGAATATTCCATTTTTATTAATATTCAACTTTAAATTTTCTACATTAGTTACTGTTCATCTTCTTTTTGGTGATTTTGCTTTGCTTAGTTTTTGTATCCACAACTATATTTTTTGTCTTTATGCTTCTTTGAAATTGAAAACACGCAGAGAGAAGAATGATGCTGAAATGACCTTTGTATTATTTTTATGAAGCTGATTCTGCTGGACAGATGTGTTCATCATTTGCTTTTCTTTTTTTTTTTTTTGAGATAATATATAAATATGCAAATTGTTGTACTTCTACTGTGTTCATCATTTATTATGGATCAATAAACCCATTGTGACTTTTTAAGATTGTGTATTATGTGTTGTTGGAAATACTATCAGATGAGAAAAGTTTATAGCAGTGCGGTTAAACATTTACCAAACAAAATTACATAACTGTCATCTGGATTATATTAAACTAACAGGTGATTCTGTATTCCTTTAAAAGACTCATACCTACAATAAAGAGGAAGGAGTGGCATGCTATTACATTCCTTAAACCAAAAAAAGGACAAGCAAAAAAAAAAAAACATCTTTGAATACTAGAAACCTATGATATAGTATTTGAGTATTTATTTTACATGCAGGTCAAATTAAATTAACTAATTTGTGTATCGTCTAAAACAATGTCTCCTCCTTAAATGTTTACTGTAAAAGTACACTCGCCAAATAAAAAGAAAAAAACAAACACGAATTCAGAGGCTCCATTTTAAGAAGTCATGTGACGACATGATCATGTTATGAGTATATTGTCAGACAGCCAAAGACAGGAGAGCAGAAACAGCCGCAGTGTATTTGTTGGTCTGGTGGTGAATGAAAGGACGAGTGGCTTTCTCTCCTTCCCTGACCTTTGGCCTTCATGGAGTGCTGCTTCCTGTGGGACCCCTGCATGTGAAAGCTCGGGAGGCTGCCTGGTTGGGCTGTGGGGCACAGATAAAATGGGGTGGAAATCAGGCTTCCCTCTGCTGTCTTCCCCAGACAAACACATCACCTCTGCATTCATTAACAGAGGAAGAGAGAAACAACAGCAGCCCACCGCTCCCAGCTCCTCTGGCCAGAAGAAGGCTTTTTTTTCACTCAGTACTTTTTTTCTTTTCTGTCCTGTTACATTTTGAATTCCTCTTGCAAATTTCCTGAGCACAGATCATCCCCAGTTCAGGATTACAATAACATTTGGATGACCGTAATAGTTCCAAGGCCAATGTGATACCAAGTGATAACCGTTCACATTGTACACTGAGTTTATGGCCTCTGTGAGTGCCTTTGTGCTGGAGATCTCAGAAAAGACTTTCTCACTCATTCCCATGTGTGAAGGTTCAGCTGGGCAGGTGGCTCCGTTAATGGCACCACTCTTCAGCCTGGAAACTAGGTTCTCTTTTCATGTATGACCCCGGCAGGTTTGACCTCACCCCCTCTGTTTGAGGGAAAGCAGCTCTAAAATCACACCACAGGTGCAAAAGCACTTTCCTTCTGAGAACAGGACTAGGTCTCTGCAGGTCGCTGCACAGGGAAAACCAGAGGCAGGAGACAGAAAAGTGTGTTATCTCCAAGGATGCGGCAGAAAATAATCAGATGGTCATGGCTGCGAATACACTGCCCCACATTTGAGTGTTTTTGGGATTGATCAGTGACATCTACAGCAGTGAAGAGGCAAAGTTTTATTTAACAAAAAAGGTTAGGAGTGATATCCTAAATGTGCAGTAGACCTTCTCAGATAACTGCAGGGTAGGAAATGAAACTCATTTATTATGTGAGAGGGTTTTTACTTAATTAATTAAGGCATTATTTTTAAAAATCTTTTGTTTTCAACGTGTTAAAAAAACAAGTGAAATACAGAAAAATACAAAAAATACAGATTGCTCAAGTACAAGTCATAATTATATTTTGAACATGTTAATTAGATATTTGTAATAACAGATATGCTTAAAAATCTAAGTCTGTATAAAATTGAGTATGCATGTATGTTATTTCCCCTTTACATGATCATTGCACAGACTGATGTTTTTGGTGGGTGCGGTTTTTAAGCATACTTCTTTGTTCAGTGTCGTATGTTTGCGTACTTGCATTCATCACGTGGATTTCTTAGCAACAGCGGAATAATACTGTAGTAGAAAAAGAAGTGTTAGTGATGAGAGCGGTTTGTGGAACTGTGTGACAGTGTGCAGGGTGCCATTGTAGAAACGATTAGCCAGCTATTTTCCCTCGCATGTGATAGGCTGGTGGGCCTGATGTGGGAGCCTCACACCCCCCTTCACCACCCTCCTCCTCCCCGCCACCAACACCCCCAGCCCACAGCGCCTGAGGCTGGCTACTGAGTCAGCAGGAGGGAAAGGTGTCTGCACGGCTGTGGCATCAGAACAAGAGAGAAAGCAAAATAGCTGGAGAAGGATAAAAAGCAGTGAAAAGCAGTTCAGAACAGTCATGCTTGCATCTTTTCTATTAAAAAAAAAGAAAAAGAAAAGAAAAAAACATGGAAGGAAGGAAATCATTGCTTGGAAAAAGACACAAAATAAGATGATAAAGCAACTTAAACATCCCCTACATTGTTCCAAATTGTCATGCAAAGGGGACGTTTTTTTTAAACAAAATGCTGAAGAGACTGAAGTGTGGAACTTTAAATTTAACCATGACACACTTCAACACAGTGAACATGCGCTCTGTGAAAAAACGTAACCGTCTGTAAGAACCATTTAAAACGTGACACCAACCTCTGGGTTATGCCAAGGCCTGGCTGTGTCTCAGACAGAGCACACAGACAGAGGAATGCTGCAGATACTCACCATTGTGTGGGGAGAGGCAGAGGAATGCAGGCTGCCAGGCTGCGTTCACTGTCACCAGTGAACACAGCCAGAGGCCTCGAGCCATGAAGGAAAGTTGGGGCCAATAGGCCCCATGGTCACAAGTCACTCACCACCTCCATCTGTGAAATCAAGCCATCTTTCCTGGACAGTTTAGATTTGGTCTAAAGTGACTGATAAAAATCTGAGTGGCTTTTTATCGTAGAGCTCCTTACTGTTCATAACATCAAGTGTCTGAGAGAAGACGCTGAACAATCTGTCTGATTCAAAACAAGTCTATTAGCTGTGAAAATATTTTTTACTCTAGTACAAACTTCAGTTGATCAGCTAGTGAATTTAGGCTTCGTGATAATGGAAATATTTGACCTTTTATAGCTTAATGTCAACTGACTAGACATTTGACCCCCATTAGCAAGCCATTTCCAGCCCTGGCCAGTTCTGTCACTGCTGTTTTGCAACGGTTAGGGCTCAAACTGGCAGTCCTCTAAAAGATTGGCTTCATGTGAAGCACAGAGCAGAGATTTGGATGGAGGACAGGATGGATGGGGGGCTTCCTCTTTCACTTCCTATATGTGGATTCAGTCAAGTGACTCTCTGTGAGAGTGTTAGGTTGTATGTCGCAGGAAAAAGCAGCTTCGGCGGCTGTGGTTTCCGGTCAGGATGTCCAGTCGTTTCTGCGCTTGGTTGTGACACTGTGAATCATGCAGCGATCACACGCGTACACAGACGTTTCCATGGACGTAGCATACAGACACGCATGCAGACATACGCACATGAAAAACCAAGTTCATTTGCATGCACACCCCTCTGCTCTACATATAAACCAATTAAATCATATGAATGTCACTTTTTCATTCAAATAAGAAACATGTCCAAATCTTGGACTTGAATGGGCTATGAGGGCATTTTTAGTGCTGTTGCTTCATCCTGAAAGCTGTCAGAGTAATTATGATTGTACCACTGGTAATGACTAAAGTTATCACATGATGGGCTCTGCAGGCTTCAACAGAGTGGATTAATGTGTAGCCCACAATAAAGTCCTGCTATCTTGGTAGCTGTAATAAGGAATCTGGCTTCCTCAGGACGTTGTGTTCAGCGTGTTTGTGCATGAACTCCTGGGATCTGATAGGAAGGCCCTCTGATAAAGAGCTTGTCACGTTTAAGTGGACACCACTGACAGAAGTGTGACAAAGTCCTGTCACATTACAGACCCTGGACTTTGGTTACGGAGTAAAGGGTGAACTACTGTATGTAATGATTATACAGGTTCCTCTCTGCGTGACAGAACCTTTAAAAACATCCTGAGCCTGTTAGCAGAGGTGAAAAAAGTTCCCTTCATTGGGTAAACAGCATATCCCCCGTTTTATGAGTGACACTGCAGTTTTGCAGCACTGAAAGCGAGGCCGAAGAGTGGAGGAGGGATGATAAAAGAGAAGGGAAGAGTAGAAAAAGGAAGAGAGGAGATCTCTTTCCCTTTCATACCCTGCTAGGATTTCCTGCTCTGTTTTATGGGGGTCATGCAGCTGGCAGGCGCCCTCCTGTTTCTGTCCATAATGATGACAGGCATCCATTAGTGCACAGTAGAAACACGAGCCACAAAGGTTAACCCAGGCTCTCCCCCCGTAGCAGCCTCTTCCCTTTCCACAGCCCCCAGCCCTTGGCCCCCCGTATTTAACCCACCTATAGGGCAGAGCATCAGGCTCTTGGTTGCTGTAGGCAAAGCTTTGCTGATTTAGGAACAGCTCGTGCTCAGGCACCATGGTGAGTCTAATACATTGTGGAAAACAGGTCCAGTCCTTTGGGACCTTGTAATGTCTTGAAAAACAAGCTGATATCTGAGAAAATGAAGGGATAGAGCGGTGGTACTGAGGCTATGAATTACAGATTTCTTTGATTGAGATCACAAAGATGAACTTTAGGTGCCTTTTTGTTTGTGAGGGAGTGGAGATATACAAAAGACCTCGTGATTGTTTGAC